AATATTTGTCGATCAGTAATTGTTTACGAGCGAGAGGAGCGTTTTATAGTTTCCAATGTTTTCACAGGTTCCCATGCGTTATTTGCACCATATGACCACGATACATGTTTTCAAACAAATTTAACGTGTTTTCGACCACACACAAAAATATTGGCTGAAGAGTAATTTTGAGCTTGCTGGTAAAAGTTAAAGTAGCTTCGCAGAAATCATGAATGTGTTATCACCAGAGACGTCATATCATAAAATTATTTGAAGTGTGCAAAGAATTTCGCTTTACTAAACGCATTTCGCCCGGTCAAAAAATTCCCATCTTCTTCCACATACAAGCGTTCAAATGAAAGAGGGCTTTACCTTTTGCAAACAGTTACCGACCCTGATTCTTATCCCCAATTGATCCATTTTCATCGTCTCTTGGTTACCATCACTTAGCGACAATTCAAGCTAGTGGTACCGTTTCCTAGTAGCCTTAAATAAATTGCAACTGGTTTCTAGTTTTCCATAACTGGTTTCTAGAATTCCTATCGAAATCTTGTGAATTCAAATCAGGCCATTTCATTAAAGGAGGGTAGCCTGCTTTTCCGTTGAAACGATTTGCCTTTTTTGCATCGTTTTGAGAAATTGTCAATCATTTCATCCTCATACAAAAAATGATTCACCTTACTTTTTAGCAACAACACTATAGGCTCGCGGCACTGATTGGTCAACCGGTCTTGTGCTTGCGTTTTTCTGATTGACCTATTTCGACTCACAACTGGGTATATATTTTCCATCGTGTTCTTTCGGAACCTTATTCTGACGTTTTATGCTCTGAGGAGTGTCAGACGAAAAGCTTTTAGTATGTCGTTTAAATGTTTGCTTTTTTCAAAGCCATTTTCAAATTCTGTACCGCAAAAAAATTGTTTTTCTTCTATAATATCTTTAGTACATCTAAGCACTTTCATTTACGTCTGCATAAATAGGCAATTATAACAATTCTTAAGATACGTTTATTAGACCCTTGGCCCAATAGTCATAAACTTTGTATGAATTGTTTGCTACTATGTAACAGGAAACCAACCATTGAATAACTCTAGTGCACGAGTTTAAAGATGTGACAAGATGTGATCTTGAGTTAGAAATGGTCTATAATGTATTCTCAAATTAGTTTTGCTCTTAGGTGTCCAGTACAACATTTTTTCGTTTCCTTTTTTATTAAAAAGGTATCTAGGCCAAGATTGCCTCTAACCTAATTACAACAACAGCATAAGAATAATATTTATTGAATTACTGCTACTGTAACTTGTCACGTGTTGATATCAACTTAACTTTAATAACTTAATTGAGATATTTTAAGTCTTTTTGTATTAATATCTAGATAAATTAATTGCCATATCCAGATAAAGTGGCCTTTAAGAAACACTAACAAATGTTTCATTTTCTTTTTATTGCATTCTACGATAGAGAATATTGCTTTCTTTTCAGCGATAAGTGCACTTTACATCAAATTTAGTCTAACATTTGTCAAAAACAATCACTCTTTTGTTTGTTCGTAAAGGTTTTTTACTTCGTCTTCAGTAAGAATGACTTGCCAAACAGCCAAATCGTCAACATAAATACCAGGCTCAATATCGCCAGACGGGGAATCGCCAATTTCGAAACTGGATTGCAAATCACTCAAGGAGACCGAAGCATGGGTTGACTGGCAGGCATCTTTCACTCCGTTGACAAAGGCACAACTTCCTGCATTATCATCCACTGTAAAAGTAAACTGATTCCAGTTTGTCTTCACAACAGCTCCTCCAAAACCTTCAATAATCCATCGTTTGCTTAACGAAATGGAAGCAGCGAAAGTAAACTTTCCATCACTTTTCGATCTAAAGGAAATGCCCCGACGTTGATTAAAAGCATACGAATGGAATATATATGCTGGAGCAGATCTTGACGCTTCAAATTCTGTATATTTGATCCAAACACTGTAAGTGACTGTCAGCTTACAAGTTCCAAAAATGCTGCAAATAAAAACATCGGACTACAGATTCTAAACCCGACAAATTTTCAAGGATTTTGGTCTTTTCATTAAAATTTTAATAGCATGCAAAACATTATAAATGCAAATTAATATACATTCTTACTGAAGGCATGGTACATTTGACTTAATATACATGCAAGGAGGCGCATGGCCTGGCACATTGCATTTTACAACCGGATGTCTTCGACCTGGTTCCGAGACCGGAGTCCATGATGATGCTACATATGATGACATGTCCAAGTTTGTGCTTGTCAAGGGGGCAAGGCTTGCTGGATCGTCGAATGACCAGTAAACAAAGGCACTGGAATATCCATCTGCAAAAAAGTGTTATTTGAGTAGACATATGACACAAGTAGACATAATAGAACTTGTGAAGCAAAAAATATTTTCATCCCTAATTAAAATTTTCCTCTCGCTACATTGAGACAACATGTGTCACGTTATTTAAAACAAAAAACTTAGTCCAAATTTGTGACCATACTATATTCATTGCTCAATAAAAATAATGGGGATGCAACAGTCATAATGTTATCATTTAATGTCGACAAAGGTGCTTTTTTAAAGTCTTTATAATGCTGCTATTCATCTTTTTCTACGTACTTACTTAGTATTGTTTCACAATGAAGCCCTTTCGTTATCCATGTTCCATTCGATTTACATTCGCAGCTGTAGGAGTCGTTTTGATAGTTGGGCACACATACTGCATTGTTCTTGCATGGTTTATTCTTGCACTCATTCTAAAAAGATATTTCTTTACATCAAGCTTCTTAGTTTGCAAGTAATCAACATATAAAAGTTATTCCATTTCAATCGCAAAGAATAAATTAATCGCTTTTAACTATACCGGAATAAAGAGGTGAACGGATCCACTTTGCTGAAGAAGAAGCGACGCATTGCTATAGATATTGATGTCCAAAAGGTCGCATGTCAGGCCAATCGCTGTACTGACATTGACATTCAGTGACTGGCATTTTTCTTCATGGAGGCAAGATCTCTGGCATTCTGAAATGTCCTTTGCTTGGAATGACTTAAGCACTGTTCCATTCAAGGTCATATTTGTCAGTTTATCCATGCTGATGTATTTGACTTCAGGCGTTTTGCAGTGAAATCTAGAGGTGCATGAGATTGACAATGTTGATAATGGAAATGCCAGCATCATCATACAGTGAAGTTTCCAGTCAGCAAAAGCTGTCAGCGTCATGTCGATTCTTCGAAACAGTCTTGTCATCATTGTTTTTGATTATCTATGAAAGATAAGATTAATTTGTTTCCCTTGTATATTTTTTGTTTGACTACTTGAAAAAGGGTGGACCTTGAGCCTAAGCTGATTTTAAACGGACCTTGATTCTTGAATATATATTTTACATTATAGGTAACAAACGTACACTGAAACGATGTTAGATTTCACAATCAAAAAAGAAGCAACCGTTTCTTAATAGCAGTCTGAAGACATCCTTAGAAGAAGAGGTCACACAGGAACTTTAGAGCCAACCCATTTGACTTTGTTATATAGTTAACCATAAATCCATTTGAAACACAGGTATCTCTATTCATCTACTCTTTTCCGTCCCGACCAAAAACCCACTCTAACGAATGCTATTCATTTTTCTTTGACGTTGCTGTATATTTTCTCACACTTCAAGGCAACGAATCTCTAATAATAGTGTCAAGAAGTCTAAAACATAGGCATGAAAACATAACGGCCCCACGCCCCCACGCCCCCACGGCCCAACGGCCCCACGGCCCCACGGCCCCACGGCCCCACGGCCCCACGGCCCCACGGCTCCTTGGATAGGATCAATAACGGCCTGAATTTGAAATAAAAAGCTTTTTAACATGATAGATGTAATAGATCAGGCTGAGTACACACTAGAGAACAGGCACATTCATGCTAGAATCAATCTTGAATCACTATCACAAAACGAGGCTATAACAATAGGACTCAAAACTAGAACTAATGCATCACAATAGAGGCATCTGTATATTAAGGGTACAAGCTCTAAGATTTCCCGAAAACGATCAAAGGTTCGTGCGCCCGACAAGTGACACGAAAAAAGCGTTAAACCTTTTTACATGGGTTTGTTTTTGTTAAAACAGGAGTGCGCATGCTCACCTTTGAAACAGACCCGGGTTCGCCTCAGTTTCGTGCTTAGAATACATCTGCCAAAACCAACCTTGGCTGGTTTTAAACTAATCCACCTCGAAATCTCGCCTAGATTAAACCGGGGGAAACCCGGGCTAGCTGCATTCCCACTACAAAAAAACTAACCAGACTGACTTAACCTAGGTTAGTTTATTCTGGTAAGTCTGTGAAGACATGGTTTTGAAAAGAAATTTTCGAGGATTTCCTGTCAAAACACTGACATTTCCAAAAATCCTACGATTATACCAAAAAGGGGCTATGGCTATTTGTCCTACGGCAACAGTGCCTCTGGTAAGTAAAGAAGGATATTAAATAAAAAATCAAGGAAGCTCTAGCTTTACCTCTGTGCAATGTTGAATGAAGCATGAATACTCGTGTTCAAAGTTCAAATATTTAACATCATCAATCACGTTAAAAGCTTGCGTACATTCTTTCTTACGAAATAGCAAATATAAGCGGAGAAAGCATAAAGTTGGTAAGAAATTTGTTTTTGCTCTTTTCACTTTAGGTAAAGAGAATAATGAAAGCTAAGCAGTAAAAGATGCATTTATTAATAAAGACAACATTTGCTTATCAACCAAAGAAATTGAACATGAAAATTGGAGTGATTCGATATTTAAACTACGACCAACAGAAATTCCTATTCTACTTAATATATATTTTGTGGTTTGAATCCACTGATTACACTTTTGGAGCTTCTGAACAGTGTAGACCTTTCACCAAATTTTGTCACAATTATGAGAGAGCTTTTCAAGGCCTATGCTGATGTAAAAATCACTGCCGCGATATTATCCAGGGGTGCCCCTAGTTGCCCCCCTTGAATCTTTGAATTTTGAATGAGGGGCAGTTGATAGTGGCCCTCACTACCATATTTGAAGGAGGTGCAGTTGGTAGTTGGGGCCCTAAAAATTTTGCAAAAATTGGTGACTAGAGTTCTTTGAGGTAATCCTTGAAGAAAGTTAACCTATCGGTCTCAGAAACTATTCCACCTGATTCTCATTCTTCAAAAGGGGCGCCCCTAGTTGCCCCCCTTGAATCCGCCACTGATATTATCTATAGCATTTGCATTGTAGGTACCAGTTTCATCACCGTAAGCATTACTCTAGAAAATGTTCGTTGCTCTTAGGCAAGGAATTGAGTCGCAGCTGAGTGTCATCAAATTATATTTTCTCTATATATAATCGTGCAAAATAATTTTTTGTTCTTTGGCTTATGAAGGCATATTTCATATTCGTAATCACCGTCCAGTCAAATATCATCAAAATGCAGGTTCTGTGTAATTTTAAAACTATCAATAAGAAAAATAAAAAGAATTGGAAAGAGATCTAGCCATGTATTAAGCTAATTAAAGCCAACTATTTGCAATAAACATGAAAAGTAATTATTTTTAGATGCCTAAATGTACAATAAAAGTTTTACATAATCTACACCTGCACCCAGAGGTATCTACATGTTTTAAATTTCGTTAAAAATAAAAAGGAATTGGGACCCTTTAATTGCTTTAGGTAGGTTTTGTCTTATTTTTGGCCGATAAATTTAAAGATCTATGTGCCATATGTTGTTTATTCCTTGAATTTGATATTTCAGATTTTTGTAACAAAAACGTCGTCTATTTTGTAAAGAAAACGTTGGATTCGGGTTACTGGCAGTTTCATATTTCTCAATCATAAACAGATTCAGTATTCGTTCGCATAAAAAGCAAGCTTCTCTTTCAAGTGATTCTACTACTATGTCTAGGTCGGTTCCACTTGAAGAGATAGTGGTATCATTCTTAAAATTGTATATTCCAGCATCTTTAGCCAGATAGAAATTTTGAATAGCAGGAAGCCTGGTTCCAAACATTGTGAGACGTCTAAGAAAGCCGTTTTCAAAGAACAGAATTAGTTATTCACTTTCACTCTTTGCCACTTTGCACGCAAAAACCGCAAAATGCATAAAAATATTCTTGAAAAGAATTTAGCTCAATAGTTTAGGCAATGGACATATTAATCTTCTATGACATGCTCCCAAAATGCATCAATTAAATTAAAAATTTTTTCAAATCTTTAAGTTTGCAATTAGGTTTTCTATTTAGACATTTGACAGGCACAAGAGAAAAGAAGGTCTCCAAGCCTTATCTAAACCTTGTTTCATCAAATCAAATTATATTCACAATGAAAACAGAAGAAAGTTCTGTGAAAGCTGAATAATTAATCATAAAAAGTTTGCGAATAGCAAACATATTCCATAGCACCAACAAAATTGATTTCCAAGGCAAGTGCATTTTACATTGATCGTATTTACAACAGTTAACCTTACGTGTTTTGAAATCGATCTTATCAATGAAGCTCAGTTATCTCTTAGTTTTTATCAAATGTCATCTTATCCTTTGGCGTGCGCATAAAGGTTTTTTATTTCGTCTTCAGTTAGTACAAGTTTCCAAATGGCGAAGTCATCTATATAGATGTCAGGCTCACTATTGGCATACCAAGCCCCTCCAATTCTCACTGCGGAATTGTGATGTTGAACCAATGAAACCGATTGATATGTAGTTTGGCAGGCGTCTTTCACTCCGTTGATGAAGGCACAAACTCCAATGTTATCGTCCACAGTTAAAGTAAATTGATTCCAATTTGTCTTGACGACGTTCCTACCGAAAGGATGTAGAATCCAGCGTTTTGATGTAGAAATTGCGATTGCAAAGTCAAATTCTCCAGTATTTCTAGCTTTGAAATTGATGCCTGTTCGGCCACCAAAGGAATAGGATAGCATGATGTTAGCCGATCGTATAGCCTGGAACTTAGTAAATTTGATCCACATACTATACGTCACTGTTGGCTGACAACTACCGAAGGTGCTTTAAGAAAAAAATGATGCAAAAATCATGTTTATTTTCATAATTGATTTAGTCAAGAATAACGTCAGCTTGTTGAGGTTTTCTTTAAGTAATCAAAATTCAGATTACAGACGTGTATCAGGTTTATCAAGAGGGCCTTTACGGTCAAGCCGCTTCAAGCAAACACATAATTTTTCTTGTGATGAATAGAATAATTTCTTGTCAGAGAATTCGCGGTTAGCCTAAGCTCTAGTTAAGATTTATTTTCTCTCGGTGAGCATTTTGCTTATAAATAGGTGATTTCATATCATCAGTTCCATTAATTTGAAAATACAATTTTCTTCTGCTTCTTATACAGAGCAAAACACTGGCTGAAACTTTCAACAAATCATCATTTAATAGATACGATAAAGGCAACAATGTGTAAAAATGTCTAGAAAATTATCTATGTTCTCAGGGGCTTAGAGTCATGAAATTCAATGTGACAAATTGTGACATTTGATGAATTTTCTATCGGTTGAAATAAGACAATTTCATTTTTTTCTCTGCTTTCAGTTCGCTGATTCAAGAATTCCTGACAAATTATAAGTTATCATCATTGTTTCCAAGTTTAGGATTTGTGCAAAAACTTTTCTTACTTTATACAAGGTACACTTTTCCAAATCTGTATGCAAGCGCCGCCATCTTTGCATTTTACAACCGGATGTCTTCGACCTGGTTCCGAGACCGGATCCCATGATACTGCATATGATGTCATAGCCAGTTTTGAGCTTGTCAAAGGAACACGGCTTGCTGGATCGTCGAAGGACCAGTAAACGAAAGCACTAAAATATCCACCTGAAGCGGAAGCAAAATTAAAGTTAACGTGGTATTTATTAAATAATCGTAGGTTCTGAAAGTATTTATATTTCAAGAATCCTCCTTTACGTAATCCTTTTACCAATGGAGATACACCCATTTTTTACAAGAAACTGGCTATAAAAACGAGTACTGGACTGTCAGCAAAAATTAAGAAACTTCAATACTCGAAGCAAGCGAGTTAAGAAACTATTAAATCGTGAATCCAAAAATCCAAAAACATGATTGCCCTGTTGGCCTAGAACTTGAGACACAAAGGATAAAAATATACTTTCCTCATCTAAATATAGCATCAGAACGAAAGAGAATCTCTTGACGTGATAAAAAAGGTCACGAACATTTCATAAGATCATTCATGACATCATAATTAAGAAACTCTTAAGAAACGACGAGTATTGAAATTTCCATAACATTTAGAACTTGAGTATTCAACATCGACCTTTGTTTCTTATAAAAAAATGAGTGTATATATTCATTATGGTATTGCACAGGATGTTTATGAATTATGCTCTCCGGATTTAGAATACTCACTCAGAATTGTTTCACAGCGCATTCCCTTTGTTATCCACGTTCCATTTGACTTGCATTCGCAACTATATGAGTCGTTCTTGTAGTGGGGCACACAAACTGCATTGTTCATGCATGGATTATTCTTGCATTTGCTCTACAAGGTATTAAAATTGGAAAAAATATATTATTATTTAATTATTTCATTTTGTAAAGACCAGTATGAAAATATTTAATGTTCAAAACAGTCAGTAGTTGTTAAATAAAAGCTCTTTTAGGAAACGTTTGTTGTTCTGAATTGTTTCATTTTATAAACTTTGATGCTAAGAATTAAAAAAGAAACAAAGTGAATTGATGATTTTTTGTCTTATGATATATTATTTTATTGGTCACTGATTACCAGGTCCAATGCTTTCTTGCTTGCAAATAGAATCATACTTAGAAACCCTTTGTCAATATCTATTAAAGATGAATTTTGCAACTGTTAAGAAAAAATTTAAGAGAAAAGTTGGCCAAATCATTGATCATGTATAGGAATGGGCAAAGCAAAATAAAGTTTTTGAAGAAAAGATAGAAAGAAATGTTGTCTATTATTCCGTTAGTTATTGTGCCGAATATTGCCAAAAGTATGCCCTTAATTTAAGTTTTGTTACCATTTAAATATTTAGAGTACACAGAAAAAGATGATCATGATAATTTTATCGAAGAAATCGAAGCATTGTCCCAGGGCCTTTTTAAACATTCTAACGAAGGGGGCAATTGCCCCTGCATCCCCAATGACTTTCTATTGTTTAAACAATAGTTTATTGCCCTTCTCCTTCAATAAACAAAGGTTTGCCTCTGCAGGTAACTTCCCTTGCAATAGGCTGCCTATGCATCGTCAAAGTTTTGCGTTACACGATGTACTGTGCGAGTAACTAACAGCTTTCAAGAAGTGGCCGCTAACTGTATGGTAAACCATTGTACGGTCTTTAAAAAGCATGCCTGATTTAGAATATGTGAATAACAGCACCAACCACGAGTAGGCAAACCCAGATATTTGATTTTAGCTTTATAAAGTCTTTTTATATTGAAATTTCATGTCTACTAACAGTTTCCAACATTGTTTATCTCCCATTTATTGCCAGTTTTTATTATGATGAGTGAACAGCAAAACAAACACTCTACAGCTCTGAAATACATGCGTTTAGTATTGCCCTTAAAACTGACGTCACTCTTACAAGTCTTTTCCAGAAGATTGCTCGTCTTTGATAATTTTTGCCTTTTTCATTCCAATTGAGTGTTTTAAAAGATGTGTTATCAAAAACAGTTGTACTTGATAACTTTCCTTCGTTTTAACTGGTACAACCTGACCAAAAACGGGCAAAGATATATTCGTATGATAGAATATTGAGCCTCGGGAATAAGTCTCCTTAGAGAAGCTAATGAAATTTAGGCTGACTTAGTTTTATTTTGTAATAAACTAATGTTTCTTGATTACCCTTGAACCCAACAGGTAATTAAAGCAGGTAAAGAATTCTTTAACTAGTTTTAATTAGTATTGTATTAACTATCCAAGTTGTAATAACTACAAAACAATTGAAAAAAAAGTAAAACAATCATAGGGCAATCCAGGCATTTACAATTCAATAATTTCAAATCTTTAGATAAAATCTTCTTGAAACCATAGCAATCTTAAAAAAGCTACAGAAATAACACAGATAATAGGCTGTAATTTCTGCATCTCGCGATTCAAGATTAGTAGCTAGGGAATCCGCTAAAATAAAACTAAAAGAAAGCAAGATCTTCCTCATGAACCATCCCAGTGTTGGAACTGGGGGCAGTTGCCCCTCCCTCGACGAGTTGAAGCAAGTCTGGCGCCCCCTTTTGGAAATTTTGCGCCCTTCTCATGAATGAGAATCAGGTGAAAATGATTCTGAGACCGATAGGTTAATTTGCTTCAAGGATTACCTCAAAGTTATGTTGTTTATTCCGAAAAAGGATCTGAAATTGTTGTGTACAGCATACTCTCGTGATCAATTTTCGAAAATTTTTCAGCGTCCCCCCCTACCAACTGCCCCTCCTTCAAGTTTTCTCTGGATCCGCCCAGGAACCATCCAAGGGTTGAAACCCTCTGTTTATGTTGTTTAAATTCTTTTTTTAATGCTGACACCGCATTTTCGAGAAAATAGAAGCAGAAAAACAACACGGGCTGCTATATGTCAAAAACACGATATGACCTACAATCCCGGACAAAAATGTTGAGACAAAATGCAATTTTTGTAGTTTTCTACTTTACCTTGCACCTGTAAATTCGAATCCCCCCCCTTTCCCTCCGAAGCAATGTTGGATTTGTAGTTCTATCATTTCTCCTTCAAAATCATGCATTGAACACTTAAAGGAAAGTGAAAATATAAGCTTTCCTTGAAAAGTCTCAACCATTTTGTCCGGGATGGTAGAATTGTGTTTATGATAGAAACTTTCTTCTCTTTAAGGTGTATATGTAATCATTGAATTTACTGGAAAAGATGAGGGGTCAGGCTTCCTTGTCATTAAATAGCAGTTCAGGACATATACCTACTTGAACGTTTATATTAAATCGATACATATGAGATTTACCGGTATAAAGAGATGAACGGATCCACTTTGCTGAAGGAGAAGCGAAGCATTGCTATAGATATTGATGTCCAAAAGGTCGCATGTCAGGCCAATCGCTGTACTGACATTGACATTCAGTGACTGGCATTTTTCTTCATGGAGGCAAGATCTCTGGCATTCTGAAATGTCCTTTGCTTGGAATGACTTAAGCACTGTTCCATTCAAGGTCATATTTGTCAGTTTATCCATGCTGATGTATTTGATTTCAGGCGTTTTGCAGTGAAATCTAGAGCCACATGAGAATGACAATGTTGATAATGGAAATGCCAGCATCATCATACAGTGAAGTTTCCAGTCAGCAAAAGCTGTCAGCGTCATGTCGATTCTTGGAGAAGCCTTCTTAGCTATGATCTAAACCTGTTCGTGAATGTTCTAAATAGTCCAATAGAATACTGAAAGTACGTACTGTAAGCAAGCACCTTTTGTTAGTTAATTCTTAAATGTATGTTTATGGCCTTGTTTGGCCAATATCTGGTGATATCTGGTGCAAAATGTTTATAATTTATCCACTTATACAAGGCAGAATCAGGAGACAGGTGCCTTGGTTCAGACTTATGGAGTTATTTGAAAAGTGAAGAGGCTTTCTGCAGTGGTAACACCAGGAGCTTGCTGTGCATTGATGGTTCACTAAAAAATTTTGAAAACATGTTGTCACTAGAATATGAAATAATGAGGCCCTGTTCACACGATACTGGATTCATTTCTTTGTCTTTAAGCAGTTGCATAGCAACATGGAATGTTGTTTGTTTTCCTCTTTTTCTTATTTAATGCATTCTTTGACGTGACATATCTGATACGCTGTTTTGTTTTGAAGAAACTATATTTCGAAACCAGTTTTTAAAACAATCTAATTTTCCTTTGCATTGATCTTTTGAAGCTCATAATCTTCGCAAGGAGCACATATTTATTGTAAACTGGGATCCACTTTCATTTCCTGCCTTGAAAAAAGGGAAAGAAAGTCAAACTATTTATAAAATCCGCGAAAACGAAGCTGCTATTTCGAAACAGAGGTTCCGGTGTGAAACCGTATCAGATTCATTCGTTCACACGAGCTCAGAAGTGATCCGATATGATTCCATTCCACACTCACAGTGGAATGGTTTGACTTTGCAAAAACGATACGGAGTGTATCAGATTCAAGCGTCATCGTGTGAACAAAAGGCCTATCCGATACGAAAAGCGATCCGATACGAAATTAATCCGGTATCGTGTGAACAGGGCCTGATTCTCAGATATTGCAGACCGTCGGCGACCGTGGCCGATGCAAGTGCTCTCATATACTGCTTGTCTGCGAGGATCTTCGATGGCCCTGTTGTGTCACATGTGACCCTGAAAACAAAGAGCCTCATACTGATAATCTTTGCGCTAATTCTGAATACAGTGTCTCGACTTAATAAGAACATCAACCAATGCATATGATCAATGTTCAGGCGTCCAAATAGTCAGAGTTAGGAAAACATTACGGTCGCACGACCACTGACCGGAGAAAGGTCCACGAAAACAAAAGAAGCTCCTATGACACACCCAAGCCACGCCCATTTTCTATTATTTGTGAGGAAGGTTTGCCTTCTGGGATGTTTTTGTCTGGAGGAAGGTTAGCAACTTTTCTGGACTTTGCAGATAGTGAGCATCACATGATCTGCATTCTTCTACCCAATTTGATAGCAAGTAAAATAAGACAGATAGCAAGTAAAACACTCAATCAAATTCATCTGCAAAAGCATTCCTCAGACTTGGTTCTAGTCGCTGCAAAGCTTTTCAGTGGTCCAACTATAAAGTAAATTAGGATACCGCTCTGTAACATGTTGAGATTGTGTACTTTGACTTTACTGAGAGTTGATTCAAATTAGATATGCTTTGGCAAATGATCTACGTAGAATAGAACTGAAATAATGAAGTAAATGACATAACGAAATAGGATGCTAGTGACCTTAGATGAATTGCAGTCTAGGCCTCAGAATAGTGGGTGATAATAGATAATAGAAGCCTCAAATAGTCATTTCTCTCCGCCAACCATACCAAGCAGAACTATCGAGAGGTATTGGGGAAAAAAGTCACCCAACTTCCACTAGGGGTCTAGTGGGTGATAACTTTTAGAGGGCTAAAGCTAAATTTTTTAAAAAACTCGACAAAGTAGCAAATTTCCAAACATTTTCTGACAATTTTGGTGCTCTTGAGAGATTGATATAGTCCCCTTCCCCCAGCAACTGTGCCCCTGTTTATCTCGCTTTTAAAATGCGATATAACTGGTATATTTATTCTTGGATAAAATGCAATGGATAAAGGTCATATTTCAAAAGTTATTTATCGATAAAAACAAACACTGTAGAGAGGGTTTAACATATGCAGAAAGTGTTCTTTTACTTCTATAATTAAAGGTACGTGGTATCTAAAGAATTTACCCATGTTTTTGTGGATTGTGGAAAAGTGTTGTTTCTACCAAAATACATTCAATTCACAATTGCTTGTCTTCTTTTTGCTATTTACTGTATCATTTTTATGACTTACCAGATATATTCACTGTTTGCTGCTGGTATCAGATTCCTAGAAGTAAAAAAGCCTTTTCATCTTGGGGGAGGCAAGGGGCTATATACCGCATCATCAATCATCTTTTTACGCTCCACCGTGTATACCTGTACAGCTCAATACAAACATTTTTAAAGAATTGTATTTTGGGAAAAAGAGCGAAAAACTATTATTTTTCAAGCATTCCTTTTGTCGTAGATGTATGCTAAAAAGCTTACTTACATCTATTGATCAGCAAAAAGGTTTGAAGCTTGCCATGGTAGGAAGACTGGCCTTTTCTGGCCAAGTTTTCCAATTTTGGCCTTTTTCGGAGTCAAAATTCCTGGAAATATTTGTTGCTTCTACTACATAGATTTGTCTTATTTGGCCTTTCAGCGGAAATTCTGAGGATATTCATTTGTTTTATACAAATTCTAGCACCTTCATCAAGGATCATATTTTTAGGTCTTACGGCCTAAGCTGAAAGATACAGCAGTCGCAAACTCAAGAATGATCCGGTTGGCTCAATTCTAAATTGCAAGTGACAATAATAAGCACGTGGATTGCCGATTCAAGGCAAAAAAACAGATTGATGCCAATATCAAGCATTTATTTATCTACTTCGAGCTTAAGGAAATTTGAGATCAGGTGACTTTTATTCCCTTCTGAAAATTGAGCACAAGCAAATCGAGTTGCTGCAAAGAGAGTTCCTGTATTGAGAATTTCAGAATTGAAAAATACATCAAGTTTGTTTATCAATTACATCTTATATCGTTAACCATTATGCATGGATAGGCATTTTATACATGCAGCTGCTAGAGCTTTTTGTTATTAAGTAAGATTATCACTTCAGACATTTTGTCATCAAAACAGATATCTTGACTGGAACCCATGGCTCATACACGATCGTAAAGACACATTTCGTTGCAGGATTGCTCTCTGGTGGGCATGGTGCAATCTTCAGCTTTGGGTCGTGGACGCATCTACTTGGATGCATTTCAACCAAGGCCGTAAATCTTAGGCCGGCAACAACCTGCACTTTGGCCCGTATAATCTCAGTGGCAGTCAACCTGTTGAAAGTGAAAATAATACATATAATCTAAATAATTAGCAATCATACAAATTCAGTTTTCTCTTTTTGCATTGAATTCACTACTACTGTTGACAGATAAAAAGCTAGAACAATTTGTAGCTGTTACAGGGCCTCCGACGACGACATTTTTGCAAAACAAAAGAGTTTTTTTCAAAATCGTTTGTTATGGGTGTTAAATTTTCCCTTGCCCCCCCCCCCCCCACTTTTCAAACTTTGTCGGAGCCCATGTGCTATAGTGTATTTTACAAAGCTTTGGTAATAAACAATTTAGGAATTTGTTATTTACAGCCAATCTTGGTTTGTTTCTTAAGTAGTGATCGGCAAGAACCTTTCTATTGTATCATATTTCCGATATATCAACAGGACGACAAAGGCAAATACATGTGTCGTGAGTTGAAATGAGATGGCCCTTTATGTATCCTGGCATCATAATCTTGATATTGGCACAAATTGTTTATCTTACCAAGGCACAGAGCAATTTCCAAAGAGAACTGTTGATAATAAAGGGACAATTTATTTATCATAAAATTTTAGTGTCCCACGCTTGGAAAGGATCTCAGTATAGGCGATTTATTACAGCATTGTCTGAATAATTTTAGAAAGTAGCGAACAATCTTTGTAACAAAACCTTAAGCCCTCTGCCTCCATTTAATCCCTCCATTTAAGTTTAAAAATTACTTTCATATCACTTAGGCTCACTATTAGCTGCATTCTAACACTTTGCTCCGTTTTAAAAATTATCCATTCAGGAAAAAAACTGAAAAAATAATTCCATCTAAGTATTGTTGATAACGTTTCCTTTTGAGAAAATTTCATTTTGGAGATCAGGGAGAATCGGGTAAATCAAGAACAGAAGCAATATTAAATCCAAAGACTTACTCAGAGTTGACTTTGCTGCTGTATTCAGTAACTGCAAATTTGACTGCTTCTTGAAGTCTTTCATCCTTTTCTATTTGTTCTTTTGTCATCTCTCGCTCACCACCTGGCATCAACGAGCCAAGGCAAAGGCATACTGAAGCAGCAAAGAAGATCGTCACTTGGAAATTTATCATGTTGCCTTATTAAATCTTCTCCTCTCCGCGTCTTTGTGAAATGAGAAATCTTTCTGCCAGCTACAGAACTCTCTTTTTACTGCTTGCTAAGAGCATGCAGACATATTTGTCAAATAAACACCAGTTTTCATCTTTTAATGCTGGGATGTTAAGGGAATTTAATAGCCCTGGGACCTCTTGCTTGTTTGAACAAATGTGTTAAATAAACTGCTCACCAAATTGCTTACACAGCTGGCGAGGCATTCATTTTTCAAAAGCTACCAAGGGATTTTAATTTCATTCTAATTTTCTATCTAAATAAAATGCAATCATAGTAGAGAAAAATTATTTGTCTAAGATGCTGCAAGACTTGCTGATTTTCACTCTATTCAATGACTATGCTGCATTATTGATACAGGTTGTAATTCTGGAAGAAAAATATTTTATATGAAATGATTACGCTTCGCTATTGCATTGTGCTCGTAGCCTAACAGCTCATGGCATACTAATCATATTGTTTAACTATTGTATTCTTGAAAATTGAATATAGCCGCAAATTAAGGGGAAAACTCTAATTGGGAACTTCAAAACAACTGACATAATTGGTGAATTGCTTCTAATGTCTTGCTTGAGACACCAAACCAACTATCTACGACAGATATCCACATTAGCCCCACAGGTTTCCATTAGAAACAAGCAGTAAACACGAGAAGGTCAGGTATTTGAGTGTTCTGCTACTTTATAAAATGAACTTTGCTAATGTTGATACAAGATTATACAACGAGCTTTGAATTTAGTAAAACTAATGCAAGAAGAAGTGAAACATTTGGCTTCAATACTGCAAGTTATCTATGTTCGTCACCCGTAGGGGAAAAAAACGCCGAATTCTCGATATGATGTAAACGTTGCTTGTATCAATATTTTCTGATAAGCCTGGAAAAGCTTTTGGTTTTTTTGATGAACCAGTGTCCTCTACAAAGGTCCTGATGACTTTTTCAAAAGCATAACTGACTCAATAACTTGCTAAAGTACAAACAAGATTTGAATTTACTCTATTTAAGCGTGAAGAATTTATGTTGGCAAAAGCCACAAAATGCCTAACGTATACAAAATTGCCATCGATCGGCAAATTTTTACTTTGGTGACGGCCAGAATACACCGCAGTTGTTATTATCATTGACTCTTTGAGTCTCTGGGGCTTCGTGGCTCGAGAGTTTTTGCCACCATCAGCTTGTAACTCTAGGAAGATCATTCAATTCGCTCAAAAGGAGTTTGCTCCTACCTTTCTTATGCATTTGATCTTTTCTAAGAAAAAATGAAGCCACCAGTTTATTCATATTAACACCAATAGTTACCCAAGCTACATTTAAAGTGCTTTTCGACACAGAGATCGCTACTTCACACCAATTATACACCACACCAAGCTCCGCCCATTTAACTTGTATGCATCTTGTGACGATTCTCAAGTCACAGCTATGGCACAGTACCCTAGATTGTCTTCTCATTCAATATATTCTGCCAAAAAGAAAGGATTTAACTCTATGTTAGCGAAATGTTTTTTTTCATGCTTTTTTTTCACAGAAGCAATTAATGACATGCAAGAACTGGCCAAACAAAGCTTATCGAGAGGACCTTTTCTCTCCGCGTTTGCCTCCTCGTTTGGTCAATTTCGCACACCTAAGAGTGCTTGAGTCAAACAGTTTTCAATCCGCAATTAATCTACTTCTCTTTTCAATAGCTCACTGAAATTATTTGAATTCAAGAACTGTTACGTATATTCATATATTTATTTATGTTAACGCCGTGCATTTGAAAACATACGATTGAATTCCTTTTAGTCGTATCCCTGAAACTCAGATTTTCACTAAATTAGACTGATTTTCAATTTCCATTGGATATTTCTATTTAGCCAAAAGTCGTATCCCAAGCAAGTCGAAAATTTGGTTTGTCAGACCATTTTTTACACCCCTCATTTGTCAAATTCAACGGGATAAAACTATAATTATCTACAAAACTTAGATTTATCCCAATGTAAAGCGAATTTTACTTTGATTGCTTCAGCGGAATTTGAGAAGATTCTACTAGATTCATTTCATATAGAGGTAAAAACTTTACTATCTCATAAAATTTTTACATTGAGTCTATTAGCGACTAGTATACTATCTCGTAATCGTATCTTAACATTTATCGCAACTAATGCAGAACTTTTTAGATAATCTAGTACTTGATAATGATAAATAACAGGGAAGCTAAATGTGAATTACATTGACAAATTTTTATGGTGGCAAATTGTTTTGTAAAATTCAAATTGTTCGGTTCTTGGTAAAAATAGTGGCGGTGCCAATGGGTGGTATGGGGGGTAATTACCCCCCCCCCCACTTTTCTGAAAATATGGTCTACATATTTCTTCTAAAAATGGATCAAAAAACGGTTCCACTGGCCGCGCCCATTACCCTCCCACTCTGTAATAGCTGGCGCCGCAACTGGGTAAAAAGGTACTGTACTTAAATCCAAGCTTAAATTGAAATTCCAAGTTATTCATAATTTAGGAATTGAACACACATTTTCTAGTACCCAGCGTGACGGTAATAGCAATTTTATATACAATCTAAAACTAAAACGGATCATCCAGTTACTATACCAAATTAAACAAGAACTGTTTTGAGTATGATCCGGCGACGGAATTCTCAAAACGCAGATGTACTGTATTCGAGTTTTTGCTTGCATGCCTTTTAGCAATAAAAAAATAATTTCTTTTTCTTCCACAAACAACCTATTCTGAGCCAACATTGTGCATGTTTTTGAACATTCAAAGAGGAAAATGGCAAGTAACATTAAATATACAATTATTTTCTAAAAGCAGAAAATATTGTCTTTCAAGGTAAACATCTATTTATCAGGAAATTGCAGCATGCATTTAAAATAAACTTGAAAACATTTTGGACCAAATCCTGCAACGAAAGGATTGCAGTTATCCGAAATCAGAATTCACCATTTGATGGCAGAAGGAAAAAATCTGTCAATTCAGATTGCCAAGTTAGTGATCCTCATGCACGATCATTTCTATTCAATATCTTATGCATTGTGGTCTATTCCTTGCAGCTTTATGCCCTTGAGGTTTGCAGGACACTTTTGCTGGTACATATTTTTAATTGAATGTAGAACCTTAATTATTCATAGTACAAGAGTTGGTATGTTGAATAGAGCATCGATACACACGAGATTTGTGTATGCATTCACCTGCAGTTGGTCCATGGCTTCCAACAGATAATGATAATCTGTTTTATTGTGTTGCCCCTAGATACCACCCAGCCCTATTTCAGCTTTTCCAAAGAAAATGCTTAGAATCTGGTACTAAGATACTGCTTCAAAATTATCCAGTTTAGGAAACAGAAGTAATGGATAATTATCTGAAAGAGTCGCCAAGAATTAGGCAATGCCGCAAGGATGAGAAAAAATGGTTGGAGTATTACAAGAAACATCGAAAAAAGGTACATTTAATTATGGGTTAAATTTTTCAGCCCGTGTTTACCTAATGACAATGCAAATAGTACTGCAAACAGTTTTTGGTCGATGTTTGATTGCTTTTTAGCAAGAAATTCGGAAACCTCTCTAATTTGTAAGCAAAGTCAAATAATGTATTAATGGCCCCTGTTTAACAAAGGGCCGAAATTAAACTTTATTCAAACTCGAACCTAACTGGTCACTCAAATCTTTGCATTGTAAGAGTTTCTGTTCAGCATAAACTCTCCCATTTGTAAATGTGACAATATAGAAAGCTAAATGAAAGTTAATAAACATAAAGGAATTTTTGCTTTTAGATCTTGGAAACGAAACCAACACTTTCGTCGTCAAAACAAAACGAAAATTACGACTACCTTCATGTGCAGTTAAGACTTAAAAAGCTACAGGTAACTTCATCAAATATAGATTTTTAAAATATTTGATTGTTGACTTCATAACCTAGAAGACATAATAATCGCTCGGTATACAATGTTAGTTAAATCTGTCAAAGTTGATGAGACATGGCAAATCAGAGATTTTAAGTTCCCTAACGAATTACTGTTATTTTTTGCTTGGCTCATATAGTATAAAACCAATACCAAGTTACATTGATTTGACGAGAAAAGAGCCTGTGCGCAACACATCTAACTAATTTTGCACATTTGTAAGTTATTTATAATGCCTTTTCATGCTATGTGGTAGAAATGGCAAAGTTGCATATATAGATTTCGTGGCACCTTTAGTTCCATAATTTTGTCAAAAATATGTTGCAAATTGTTAGAGCATCATTTTTCATGATCAGTTTATCTGACTGTATTTAATTATTTTCGATATGTGTTTATATTCACTACCCTTGCATCTGCTACTATGCCTCTTAATGCCAAAAACAACTAAATAAAGCAGGGGTAATATGTTAAGATTTGATACTGGCAATAATACTAATACTTACACATTTTAATGTTAAAAATAGCTTAAATAAGTTAATTTTGTTTTCAATCTGCGTTTTTTAAGGTCTTTATAGGTTTTTATATCTATATGCTGATCTTGCTTAGACTTTGATTGGGTATACCAGTAACAACATTACAGACAATTTAAATGATTGGAATAGAAATCTATGCGTCATAATAGTAAGAATATGTAGCTTAAGAATCATACTTCAGGATATGTAGCTTAAGAACCATACTTCAGGCACCAAAAGACACTTTACTGGATAATGGGTAATAGAAAAACAATTTTCTATGTTGAAAATTAGCGCTAAAATAACGACACTGTTTTACTTATGTTAGTTATCAAGAGCGGGTACAGTATAAGTTTTAGATAAGATTGATCAAATATTGATGCCATTAGATAATTGAAAACAGATAACTAAAAACAAATGTTTTCATGTTGACTAAATGCTTCTGAACTACCTCTATTATTCTCAAAAAACTTTTAAAACAATTTACCTTAATTTTCAAAAAATAATCAACTTCTTTGCTCTTAAAGATATATACAAGATTATTCCAATATGGTTTTACAGCATTTATCATTTGTGACAAGCTTTAATTAACCTTTATCTAAGCACAAGCGAGGGTTTGATCTCTATTATTCACTTCAGATGGAAGAAGATCGATTTGCTACAATTGATTACGAAAATCGAAAATTACTTGAAAGGATAATGAATGTCGTTGGTGACCTTCCTGTGACAAGCAAAAAAAAGGAATTGAAGTAAGGGTAGATTTTACTTGACTTTTAGAGAGGCCTGTTGACTTTTTACATAGGCTCTTGGTTTTCTTCAAATATTCATTAGTGAAGCAGTCTTTGCCTAGATATTGTTTAAAGCTTATAGCATGATGCCATGAAAACTAAACAAAGTTTTCTGCCTCAGGTCTAACATTTTTAAACTTTTCCTAAAAACTCAATTATGTGAAAGTAAATCTGGATTCTTTGTAAATTCCTGATATTAGATATAAGACCTGCGTATTTGTTAAAAATCTTAACAATTTTCAACATAGAAAGCTACAATTCATAAACATTTAATTCTTTTGTAGAGATACAGGTTTAATCGCTTAATTGATAGCTTGATGTTATTTAATTTTATGAACCCTTATTTCTAAAAAAATTAATTTTTAGATCACCAAGCAAGAGAACAAGAAGTGTACAGGTATCAAGAATAGAAGAAGAAAACAAGGTAGTATTGTCTGTCCCATAACGCATAAAACTGTTCATGGCACATTTTGATAATCTGCGTAGAATAAAAAAATGTCTTTGATTTTCTCTTGCCCTAAAAATGATGATAAATCTCCTACGAATCGAAGATATCAAGATATTAATGTTTTGCTATTGCACATGCACTTTTCTAAGCATTTTGTGTTTACAAAAGAAAATTGCTAATTGACTCAAAAAATCACTACAAACTCCTAGATTATCAAAATGCTTGATGGAGAAAAAGCCTGTGCTTATGTGGCCATATCTCAGTAAATTTGTAACACAACTGATTTTGCACACTTGAGGTTATTTCATAATGGTTGTTTTGGCTACATGGTCAAAATTGATAGATGTTTGTGACACCAACACTTTGGTACTCTTTTTAAAAACATGAACTTTACTGCTTGCATGCTAGATAACAATGTTTTATAAAGACATTTTATCATTCTTTCACAGAGGTTTAAAGAAAGACTAGATCGTACAAAGGCTCAAGTTGTATCATCTGCGACAGTAAGAAACATATTTTTATTTTACATCTTTGCGTACCTTACAAGCTACTGTGGTGTATTTCAATTCTGAATATAAAATCATAACTTTGTGTATAAATCTGTAATAAAACCATAAAGGTCCACATCTTTTGCCTATTGTTGTTTATTCTTTTCAAAACAAATACAAAATAAAATTCAATGTAAATAACCAAAACAAATAACCCATTATGACCACTGCATAATGGAAAACATTAGGTACATTTTACAAAGATTAATTTTAGGATCAGTCACCAATCAAAATTTCAAACTATGTAGAATTTGTTTACAAAAGTGAAATGACGAATATCTCTCATCTTAAAATTTCAATATTTTGGCAAAACATATAAAAAAACTCTAGTGAATTCTTACGATATAAGAGCCATATTCAATATCTTTCATCTTACAATATATAAGAGATAGAACAATATCTTACGATATTTTTGATATTGTTCAAAGCAAATATATTGAAAAAAACATCGTATGTTGTGAATAAAACGTAAAAACTTCAGCTTACGCCCTAAGACTTGAAAATCGCCGAAATTGCGCAAGATCTTCGCAAAAAACGTAATAATTGATAGATATTTCCTTTTAGTTTGGACAGACGTCATTTAGGATACATCATACTGTAAAAATTTGTCTCTAATTATGTATAATTTGACATTGGAGACCTGAAAAATAAAACAATACATTAACAGGCTCTCGCAGGTTTTAATAATATCTCTTGATTTGTTGCCAATTAAATTTTATTGTGAATATTTTCAAAATATTCATTTTTTGTTACAGTTATTGTAAGACCTTTTAGCCGGATCTTTTTTTATACAAAATTTACAATTGAAAAGTACACTGCTAAGTCAAAGGACTCAAGCGACATCATTTGACGTCTTGCAAGACATTTCTGAATACTATCGCAATTTAACCTTAGAGCAGAAAAGTTCAAAAATATTAATTGAATTTCAAGTAAAATAAATAAACAACTTCGGAACTTTTTTTGTTATCTTGTTCACAGTTTGATGATGTTGACCCCAATGCAGCATCTAGATCAAAACAGAAGCATAATGAGGAAAAACAAATCATGGCGGAGAATTTGGTAAGCGTTTGATCCAGTGTCAAATTTCAAGTTTACACTGGATCAACTGTGTCAACTTTTAGAAGTCCACGTTTCAAACATCTTAATGATATTTACGTTTTAAGCATTTTGACAGGTAGTAACAATAGGAAAATAATTCTTTACTCTGTATAACAACCTATTAATTTTATAATTTAGATTTTATCTCAATTTAAAAAATTAGATAAAGATTTGGAGCAATTTTTCATCTTTAATTCATAGTTTGATGTTAGCTTTTGCATCGCTTTATTTTAAGTCATCAACTCTTTCGCGATTTATGATTTTCTCTCTTTTGAATATAATTAATTCCATTCTTCAGGTTTCAGACTGCTTGTAGACTTTTTGAACGCTAGTTTTGCTTTCCAACAGTTTCCTGCGTGTAATAAAAATAGAATTGCAATGAGTCTTTTGCCTGAAAGTTTAAAAAATGCGCCTGTCTGCCTATTAATCAATTGGTCGCAAGACGCTAATGATTAATAAGCCAAGCCATGTCCTGACGTTCTCTTAGAATGAGAGCAGGCCCTAGGTCTCTGTAACTCCAGGCGTAGGAATCCCGAGGTATGATCATATCGAGAAAAAGGACCAAGATACTGCTCGAAAAGCATAGCTTTTCAGTTATTTAAAACTTACCTTTGGAAGCTAGTTAAAAAAAGGCAAATAAAAACTACGAAAATACACATTTCTTGCTAATACGAAAGCTATTTGGTTCCAAAGTAAATTGATTTTGAGGCTCATGGTAAGGTTGACGCATTGAATGGATAGATTAATTTGGCTGGATTGGTTTGTTTTGGTTTGGTTTGGTATCATTGTTTAAAAGCAATTAATATTGTTGATTGGAAAACAGGATTATTGTAATAAGAACAAAGTAGCTTTGACTCTTGGTATTACGGTGTTTGTATTAGGTAATAGCATGCTTTTTTGCATATATTTACTTTTTAAATACTTTCTGGGCAGCAAAAGTTTAGGCATTAAAAGTCCGAAAATATTATAGAGCAGTCTATCAATTTTTTTTATTTTTCTAAACAATTTCGATTTCCAATTTCAAGTCCTCTTTGTTTTGAAGATGTGTGACCAACTGAATAAATTATGTTTCTTTTCCAGAGACTGCAAGAACGGATAGGCCAAGCACGGTCATACATATCATCTGCTCCTGCTGCTGTGAGTTAAAATTTCAAGTATTATCACTTTCCTTGACCTTGTTTTACAGTATATTACTTAACAAATCACTTTCTACTCTCGATCATACTTGCTTTCCTAGTATGGGAGGAATATTCTCTCCATGAAATCTCAGAGACTTTTTATATACTGATACGCAAGAATCTCTGTGTTCATCGACCAAGTTTAAAGCAATAACACTTATTGAAGGTACTCTGAATTAAAGAAATATTCTACCTGTGTCAAAACTGTATTCTAGAAAAATAGCAGAGTTTTAGTATCATTTCATGTTCTAGTCCGAAAAAATGAATTATGCACGAGAAAAACAAAGATTAAATGACGAACGCAAAGTCATGGAAGAAAACAAGGTAAATATAAACAAACAAACAGTAAATAAGCAAAAGAATCAACCGAACCGAAACATTTGAGTATTAACGTTTGATAATGGCCAAAGCTAAGCAGATATTTACATCCAGGTGCAGGCCAAAAGCAACGCGAGAATGTCAGGTTGTATAGACAGTTCAGAACGAATTTTATTTCGTCTGTTAGACTTTCGTTACCCTTTGTACTTTATCCAAAGCTCATACTTTAAGCCAGGGTTGAGCAATTAATTTTTCAAGGCGCCACACAAGAAAGCTGAAATGTGTTAGACGACCGAACCATCGGTGCAATGTTATCCCTCCCGACATAAAAAGCTATCAATTGTACAATACTTCTGCTGTTAATGGTTATCAGAAAGGTATAGATCCTACGTAATATTTATATAGATATATGAAATTTTGATGAAGTTCAATTGAGAAATTACTCCTACAAAGTTCATGTTCTAATTTACCTAACACTCACGCGGGCTGGACGGAAAAGCCCAGAGAGCCGGATGTGGCCGGCGATCCGTAAGATGCCCTGGTATACTTTAAGGAGTGTCGCTAGAATGGCGCTTTATCATGCCAAGTTTCTGCTTTCCAGTCTTTTTTTCAAATTTTTGCTGCAAAATGCTTATTGATCATAAATAAAGCTTATTGGCTACAAAGTCAATCGTTATTGATATTTTAGCAACTGAAAGAAAGAATAAACGCTGCGAGGCATCGTTTGAATCTAACACCCCCAGAGGTATGTAGTTATCTTTAGACCATGTATTTGCAGAAATTAAAGGTTTTAGGTGTCCGTCGGGAGGTACTGCTCCACCAACACGATTCGACTCACACTTTTATTTCCTTTGGACTTCAAGATTCGCAACAATTGCTGCTCTTTTGCTTTAATTCCGTCACTTCTACAAGTATCTCTCTTTGGTGAATGCTTTCTTGTCTTCAATTAAACCTGCCTTTCCGGATTCTGCTCTAAAAAGAGGGATGGGCACGCTTCTGCATAAAGCCTGAAGCAAAAAAACTACCCTGGAAATAAAATTTCCATGTTTTATCAAATTAAATTATCTGTATTGAAAAATAACTTGCTTGATTTGTCCACTGCAATAAATTCACACAGAGAAATCGACCACATGCCAGCTTTCAAGACAGATTCAAAAGGGAAGCAATCAACATTGAGCAGCAAAACTTTCGATTGCATGCAAGGCTGACAGAGATATTGGAATCTGATCCAAACTACAGGACTGAAATGGTTGACAGCACTAAAAGGTAAATGTATGCGTCTTTAGAATACAAATCATGTGTTGACGATATAGGTGTCTTGACAGAATTATATAAAGGTACTTGCAACAGGCTTTTTTGTATCTATATAAAGTAAAAAAGTTAGAATAAACAGATTTTTGAGGCAATGTTTTTCTAAGTTTAAGCTAAGAATTAAATGAGCAAAATGAGATAACACAATATATTATCCTGGAAGCTCACAACCGATTACTTTGCTGCACATTGCATGGCTGTATTTTTGAAAAATCCTCTATAAACGTTTTGCAAGCATTAATAGCAGAAAGAACGGCACAAAATGAGGGCCTAGAAGCCTTTGCATCTAAGAATATTGTTCTAATCACTGTGTCACAACACCAGTATTTGATACATGTTGCTTCTGTGAAAGCCTTCAATTTCACCAAGTAAAAAGCAAAACATCTCTTTCAATAGACATCAAAGGCTGCAGAGAAGCTTTAGTGAAGACAATCGGGTGAGATTAACAAATTTAAAGGACTTTTAAGCACCTTTTTTTATATAAATAATGCGAGAAAATAAATTCCCTATTTCTTCTCGATAATCTTAAAAGTGAAAGAAACGCTAGATTGTTCTATTGCTGTGTTAGTTTGTTTAAATATACAAAATGCAATGGAAAACTGTTAACATGTGATTAGCTAATCAAACTGAAATAAGTGTGAAACCGGTTTGGTTTCGATATCTTCCTTTCTGAAAGTGAGGTATACAGCCTCAAATGATATTTAGAAAGCTCAGTATTTTGGCAGGGACTTCGCTGTAGTTCCTATAAATTTAGTTTATAAAGTTTAAGACATTGTCTTTGAGTATCATATAAAATATATTTTCTTAAGTGGAATTTCCATCTATAAAAATTTATATTGCATTAACAGCAACCTCTATGTTGTTTTTGGGCCACAAAGGTAAAAAACCATTGATTCCTAACAGGTAATGCAAAAAAGGCTTGAACAAATTAAAAGCACCATTGATGATGGCAAAGGACATAAGGTTTTTTTGATTATATTTGATAACATTGATTTGCAAGTTAATTTGTGTTACTCAGCATGCAAGTGCTTTTTTATTGTTAAAATTCAGGGATAATCTAGGGTCTGTTTTGTTTAAAGAAAGTTATATGGACGATGATGCTGGTTTTGGTCCTGTTATAGAGTTCTTAATTGGTGATGTCAAAACTCTATTCTTAGATCTGTTTGGATCTCATAACCCAAAAAAGCATCACGAAATAAATTTTAATGTGCAAAATCACTTTAAAGCATTACAAATTTGCAGCAATATGGCCAAATAAGCCCAGCCTGCATTAGCAAACTTCAAACCCCTCATTGGCCATTTCTCACCCACTTTTTTCAATAATTAACTAATTTGGCAAATTTAGAAGTATTTGATGCTTTGGTCAAAATTTTAAAATACCAAATTAGATATGTCGGTCTTTTGATGCAGTTTGGGATTGCAGAAGTTTTGTGTTAAATTTGTTTGTTTGTGATCAAACAAACAAATCATGATGTAATCAATGTCGAATTATCTTTAGCTTATTATCTACTATTATCTATAAAAAGATCATTACAGAAGTTGTTCAACTTCTATTTAACTTTATTCAAATGTTTAACTTCTATTTTGACTAGACTTTGTTTTAATTTTTCTCTGAGTGAATCTTCGAAAATCTTACTTTATATTTCCATCTAATTTCATGCCTATGACAGTATCAACAAGAATTACTTTATAGAATTTGCATTTGTAGCAACATAGACTCCACACTAGTGACATGATTTTACAGCCAATGTCTTTCAGGTCGTAAGCAATGTTGTTCCTTTGCACTACAGTGTTTAAAAGTGTTCTTATCTGCATACAGGAAAATTATGTGAGTGAAAAGAAAAATGCAGCTGCACGTCGTTACGAAGAAGAAAGAATACAAGAAGAAAATAAGAAGATGAAAAAAAGAATTTTAATGATAATGGAAAGTCAAAATGCAAATGCTTCAAAAAGACCAGGAGAAAGGTGGCGCTTGTTGATAGGCTTAGATAGTTATATTAAACTCACTAAAAATTTACTAAAAAGTATTCATTATCTCTGCATGGTTTTGCTTTTATCAAATATCACCATACAACCAATCTTTGCTTTACAATACATCAACCTAGCAAAATTACTGCTTATTGTCAAAGATGTCAAAAATTACTTTAAAGTAATTATTACTTTTTAGAGATCATTCAAAGCAGAAAAAAATCGATGAAGCACGAAAAAGCATCGAGAAAGAAAATAAGGTATTTTTACAGTTTTATTCATAGCAGTTCTAACAGGTTTGTAGGCAGTAACAGTAATTCTGCATGTTTCAATATGAAACATGGGTTGATAGAAATTTAGTGTGTATCGATCAATGCAGCCATTGAATAAACCATCCATCGACTTACTTATTGTTTGTAAGGCTTTGGTTTTATTTAGTGGTTGCATTCATCAAAGTTTCGATGCACGTGAAAAACATGCTTTAAGAAGATTTCGTTTAATTAAAGTTACAATTTATAGTACAAAAAGCTGAATGCGAGAAACGTTTTATAAATTTATTTGCTCTTTTAATTACAAAAATTTATCCACATGCTATACAATTAATCAAAACCTTTGATTAATTCTTTTAAAGTGAAATTCAAATGAAGTTTGTTTATTTTTCTTGATTTGCAGTTGTTGCTAGAGAGAATAAAAAAGGTTAAGCCAGTGATGTCAACCAGGCAAAAGGTTATATTTTCATGTTATTTAAGAAATTTTAAGATGAAAGGTAAAAAGGCAAAGAAAAGGCATATAAAAACATTTTATAGATAATTACTTAATAAGATGAAACAACAAATCATTTTAAGTAAAAAATACAGCACATCAAATTCAACCAAATGTATACTGCAAAATATAACTGTAAAAAACTGGTCAAGTAATTATAGCAAAACATATGAATTTTATGAAATGGTTGTAAAATTTTCGGAAATTCGGATATGATTATAGGAACTAATCAGAAAAAGTCGAAAAAATAATAAATTCGAACATAAGTGATGTGTTGATGTTATATCTTGATACAATTTTCTGGGTTTTCAGTATTGCTAAATGCACAAATGAGTTCTTGCTTTCTTTTTTTTCATTGGAATGCTTATTTTAGTAACAACATTCGTCAAAATTATGATAACATAAAATTTTTTGCAGGATCAACCACCATCATTTGTACCATACAATGATCAGTACCAAGAAATGAATAAGCAGCTGCGGAAAAGATTAGCTAAAATAAAGCGTGGAGAGAACCCTGGGCCATTGAAAGAAAGCATTGATTTAAGGTAAGAAGATGCACTTTTTTTAAGACTAACTAAAATCTGTTTTAACATATTTATACACTGATGAAACCGTGCAAACAATGAAAGTTTGAGGCCTTTTGCGTTGTCGCGCAGGTAGAAACCAGGACTTCATTATTCACATTTTTCATCATTATTTACATAATTCTAGGAATAAAAACTTTTTGCTGATTTTAAAACAACCTTTCTTTGCGAGACAAAATTCAGCCTTATTTGATGAAACGATTTCAGAACACTCTTATTGATAAAAATCTTTTTTCAGCTTTGAAAAGATTGTCTGTTGTTGTATGTCTGTTGCTATATGACTGTCTGTCTGTTGTTGTTTCAAAATGCTGTATGTTGTCTAAAGGAGAAAAGTTACGAATTACTAACAAGATTTTTTTGCAAATAATTGTGACGTTGGTATCGACATTAAATTGAAATGAAAATATCAAAGAAGTGATTTGGTAATTTATTGATATCTACAAAAGAAGATAACTTCATTGATACTAAAACGTAAAATTCAATAAGGTGCAAAAGTGATATCGGCATTAATTAAGTTTGAAGAACAATGATTTTAAGAATAATGATAATACAATAATAACATGGTATAATACAATTTATTTAAAGTTGGCTAAAAAATATTTAGTTTTAATAAATACCAACTTTTACCCTATTAACAATATTTTTAAATATTGATCTGTAAAGTACAATTATGGTATATCTATAAACTGCAAATGTGGCGCTTGCATCAGGGCCTTTTCCAACCATGATTTCTATTTTAAACTAATTTTTGTTTTGGCAGTTTTTTACTTTTCTAGAAACCGATTCCAAACTATGCTACCCATAAATGCAAGACACTCGTTACCATACTTTTTGTCCTGGTTTCAGAAAGTTAGAGAAGGTTGCTTGTTCTTAAGTTATATGTCAGCAGTTTTCTATTGAAGAACTTCCACTGAAAGGAAGGAATCCCAGAAGTAGTACATAATGCTTACATTGTAAAGCATAATGCATACATTGGTAGCCCTGACTGTTATCTTTAGATTTCTAATAAGCTTATTACAATAGCTTTTTTTCGTATTTATAGTGATAATGATGAGGATGACCAAAATGATAACGAGGAGGAAAAGAAAGAAGGGGTTGCTGGATCAAAAAAGGTAGCGTAATTAAATTCTCTCAGTATTCCATAGAGCTTAGAAGCTCAATCAAATGATTTAAGAACTAAGAAGAAATTACCTTGACTTTCATGGTACAAAATATTGAAACTCGCAAAAATCTTGCAACCATATGCCTATGTCAAGAAAGTTTCAGCATCTTTCTTCCAAAGTTTTTAGACATAGCTTTGATATTTTTTAGCCTAATATCAGCATTGTTTCCTTGACGATCTCATCTACTCTTATTTACTTTTTCAAGCAAGTGCTGGATGTTTAAACTCATTAAATAAAATAAAACCATATTAATATTACCGTATTCTATTCCATGATATTCAATCATTACTTGCCCTTTAATGTAAAGATTAGAAATCAAATCCTGTTTGATGAAATTAAATATTGAACTTCAGCTCTATTATCTCTCCACTAATTAAATGCTAAAGAAATACACAGATTATATTTCGTTGATCTTATGTCTAAATAAAAGTTCTAATTCATTTTTTCATTTTTAGGAAACCAAAAAAGGCAAAAAGAAAGTATATCAAGTGGTAATTGTTAATTAAGTCTAAAACTAAAATATTTCTTACACTTTTGGAGTTATGTTCTTATTAGTTTAATGAGTGAATATTTAACTTCGTAAGTAGCCAAGATTCGCCTGTAAACATCAAATTCAATATGAAATCAGCAGCTTGGAAACAAAGAATGATACATTAACATTTGGTTTTTAGCCTGATGGTTACCACAAAAAATTCAGAAAGCGAATAAAGAAAAACAAAAAGGGAGATGAAGTTGAAGATGCGGATGATTCTGAATTTGAGACAGATTCGGATTATGACTGAGCTTTGCTTTATTATAATAAATTAATGTGCACTGGATAAATTTTAAAAGATTTTGCCATCTATTTGCTGTTGAATTTGCCATTAAATACATTGAAAAGAATAATGAATAACAGTTACATTCAACTACGAGCTTCGTGGCAACATCTCTTTGCAAATTGAAAACAAACGTTTAAAAGGTGAGATTAGAAATGATACTTCCTATTGTTCCAGTAATTTTAAACAGTTCTAGCCGATAGAAAAATTGGAAGTCCTGATAACTGACATTTCGCTACAATAAACCAACTTTTAATTTTGTACATTTGTACAGCTATTAGAAATGGCTATCACATTGAACAGTAAAAACAAAAAATTGATAAGAAAATTTAATTAATGATGAAAATTTAAATGGCAACGTTGCATATCACAAAAGCAAATGAATTCGATATCTCATACCGAGAGCATACTGGTACTGAAACGTTTCACTGTTTGACAAGAATTTTGATGATCAAATTTAACAATATCTAAATACCTCAAATGAATAATTCTTTATTACTGAATTTCCACAAGTATTTAACAAGTATTCATACCAACACGGTTAAATGACAGATATATTCATTGACGGGGTAGGTGCGTGAGTTAATGCTATTCACAGCAACTATATAATTAACATTTATGATGGTGAGTTTTCTTTACAACCAGTGTCAACTAAACTGCAGGAAATGCAGATAGAAGAAATGAATAATTCCCAGATAAAACATTTCTCGAGTAATTTTTCCCTCAGCTGTGATATTTGCAGTACAATACGATAACTGTTGAATGTGCCTTGCCAGAAATCTAACTCCACCATAAAATTTAACGATGGTAATGGCAGTGAGTCATTATGAAAGGAGAGGGTATACCCAATCACGCTTAGCCATGATTTTGTTGCAGCTATGCTATTGCTAGTCATATTACTGATCACATGATTTTGTCTCGTACTGATTTACAGAACAGCTTAAGCCAATAGCAAGTTCACATTAAACTACAATGATCATACCGAAAGAAATTGACCTTCTATAGAGAAGGCGTATTTACCATGACTTCAAGCCTCTAACGAAAACCGAAAACATATCTAAATCCCTATACATTTTCAAATCTTTCCATCTTCTCAAATCCCCTTAAAACTTTCATAAAGTTGATTAAAAAGGCCTAATACAGATGACAATTCGATTAATCTCTTCATCTAAACGAAGGTCTTTGCTTAAGCCACTACTGTACGCGGTATAATAACAAGTAAAGATTGATAGCTGCATTTCGCACGCAAGCCATTTTTTCAAGTAGGATCTCCTACGTTATTCATAAAAATCAAATAATATACAATAAATAAAATGACTGTTGGTTTGCGTTTAACGAAAGCAACAAAGAACAGTTCTGAAGCCTTGTCGAATGTCCGTCCGGTAATATCCATATACCATTGGATTTACTGCGCATGTGCTAAAGATCAAAACAGTCGAACAGATCTCAAGTGACAAAGGAACTGTCTCTCTACCGCTTATTAATGCCCAAATGTTGGCAACGCCTCTGGGTATCCAGCAAATTGCAAATGCAAACACTATAATAAGAAAAACCTTTGTTATTTGATTCAACTGTTGGTTCTGCTTTTGCTTTCTTGCTTTGTTTATCATGCCTGTTAATTTTCTTGATTTTTCATCATTGGCATTAATGCGAGCTTGCGATTTTGTATCTTCCAGTTTTTCTTCCCTCCTTCCAGCTATGCTCTGAAAAAAATGTTTAAGCAGCTTGTCAATTGAAGTTTTTTATACTATGATATGCGTTATATCTAATAAGGTATCAAGTAGCTGGTCATAAGTAGACAATATGGTATACTTTGTGTACAAATTTGGAATTAACGGTAATGGAAGGTTGCAGCTCAAGGAAAAACTCAAATAAATAGTGACATCTTATAAAAGCACTGAATCTGCCAGGTTGAAAAAACTGCTGAAATATTCTTTAGCTTCTGTAGTAAATTGAGGTATACATGAGGAGTTCATTTATCCTATCTTATGTTAGAGGTTTTGTCTTGAAATAAACAGAATTAAGAATGTCAGACGAGTTAATAAAGGTATCAAGAATTCAACTTTCTGTTTGTTTCTAGGATCACTGCTGTTTGTTTACATGTTACTTAAAAGCAAATTGTTTTCAATTATGCTAATGTACTACACTCATATTTCATCCCTCATGAAACTCACATTGTTTTCTTCTTCATCAAATTTGTCAGCTGATACTTTCTGCGCAGAGAGGTGATGATCGTTGAGGTCAAACGCGACTTTTCGAATATGTCTGAAAACCCTCAAGAGAACTTTCGTGTATATAACCAGGCCTGCAAAGCTTGGTATGACAAAACCTAATACAAGATCGACTGTCCCATACAGACGTGCTGAGCTCCTGTCTAGTCCACAGAACAGTTTTTGTTCTCTATGTGAATATGATCCCGAACCAAAAATTGGTGGCAGACTCAACACTAGTGAGTAGAGCCAACCAATAAGGACGAGCCTTTCTGATAATTTTCTGTTCTTCGCAGTTGAATAAAAAGTGGGACAATGCACAGCAATATATCTGTTAATACCAATGTTCAGGAGCGCCATTACTTGGGCCTTAGTAAGAACAGCATCACAGAAGCCAGCAGCAACGCATACTTCTCTGCCCAGTTGCCATCCTTTAGTAAGAAGTGTTACAAATATTGTTGGCAAAATTAAAGCGGCAACAAGAAAGTCAACAATAGCGAGATTTATCACCAGATAGGATGATATCATTCTTAACGACCTCACTTTATAAAACGTGTACAATAAAAGAGAGTTACCGGCCAATGAAGTCGTTATCACCAAAAGGTTAATGACAATAAGTGAGATGTAGACGAAACTTGGCAAAGACGTTTGCTCAACGACTGTTTGGTTACCAAAACGCAAGTTTGAATCCATAATTGCTCTAAATTACTTGTAGAAGCTGCTTGCTTGTTGAAGTTTTTCCGCGTTTACCATGCACAACATACGGTGTTTACAATCATTGCTATCTCGATATAAGACAAGCTAGGATACAAAGTTATTGTTTGATATTCTAAAGAATTTCTTAGCAGATATCCTTAAACCAATATTGTGAACTGAGTTATAATACAACGTTAAACAAGTAAATCCTTTCGGCTATGTACGACTATAAGAATGAAAAATGATCTTCACCAGTGCTTTATAGTGAACTGTACTTTTGTATGCTTCTGTCAAGGTGTAGAAGCTATTCATCTGGTCAAAAGAAGCTAAAAACACCTTTTCCTTGCTATAAAAATTTCCTAGTATATTTATCTATATTGTTTTCTTTGAAATGAGATGCTCTTCTTGGACTAAATAATGCTTTGACCGATGCCTCTATAGATATATTCTAATCCTTCTGCACAGCTATATCTGTTTGCTTTTCTTATCCACGTAGGACATCATATAGCTTTTCTTATATCTTGCTGTGTCAATTGTATACTGAAATAGAAGGCCTCCATTTTTGCCCAAATAAAATCTATAGGAGATGTAGCAGAACTATGTCTTCTAAATTTGCCGATGGAAAATAACGTACTTAGAACAGCAAGGTACTTAAATTGTATAATTTGGATTCCTATATTACAAAAACGGTGTTGTCTAGGTAGCGTCGTTCATGTTCCAGTTTGTCATCGTGACTTTTGAACCCTCTTGGTTAAAGTCAGATAAAATTTGTACCCAAACATGCAAAGCTATTCAATTAGCTCCGTTTATAACCAGACTTGAGAGTCTACTGTACCAGCCTCACAGTTTTCACCTTCTTCAATGGCTGCTGTTGGTTTGAAACAACTTTAGTGTTCTGCGGAAAAAAACTAGAGTTAACGTCTTCTTGAAAAATTTATTAATCTTCTTTGATATTTTCCATTTTTCGACAGCGAGTATGAAGATTGACTGGTAAATATCAAAGAAAACTTAAACAAGGTTTTTTTCATCATCATAAAATTACAATCTAAAAACTAACAATTAACACAAAATAAATTTTAGTGTGCTGAATTAGCGGTAAAAAAAACATGCGTTATTGTGTCACCTCTAACCCAACACAGTAAGTTAAATTATCAATTCATACAAAATTAAAACTACATAGATACAAATAACAACATAGACAGAGATTCAAGGGCAAATTAACTTGATTTATCGTACCATGAAATTCATCTAAAACGTTTTGTGTTAACTAAAAACCTCACAGTAGCATCTAAAATCATTCTATTAGCTATTTGATTGAATTTTAGACTGCCAAAAAGAAATAAATTGCATAAATGATCTAAACAAGGTGAGGCGCTTATTACAACAGGCACCACAATGCATTGCGCATTATCGTCGAATGATGTCATTATGCATATGGTCAATTATTAGCTTTCATTTTTAAAATTCCATCAGCACACCCAAGCAATTCGTAATGATTCCCATAATCCTTTGTGCTCTATGTACAGGCAGCAAAAATTATGTTTAAACCAATAAGCTCATTTTACCCGAAATTGATTAAATATTTATATTCCTGCCAAAAATGAAATTGATTTTGGTGCCAGAAAATCAATCTTTAAGCAATCTCTGTTTATAGCCTGTACTGAAATAAATTTATTAGTTTGCTTTGCCTTTAACTAGTTCCCTAGGCTAACGCAAAATTTTATTAAATGGATGTACTGGCAGTGAAATGTGCATTTATTGAGTAAATAAATGCCTACCAACCCATCTGCCAACTGGTACACAAAATTAGACCGGTAAGTTACATAGAATATTCCATATCGAAGGAACTATTGCTTAAACAAGGTAATAAGACACAGAGATTGGTAAGTAGATTGTAGTTAACCAAATATCGACTGTATAAGATTACTTAAGGAAGAGGAGAGCTGAAAACAGTTCAAACTTAAATATGAGTGATTTTTAGATAGCGACAACAGTAAGATTTCAGGTTTAAGTTCGCCTTACAAAACCAAGCTTTCATACGACATGTGTTATAGAGTTTCAATGTAACGTGCAGTTTCATAACTCGAGCATGGCAGGACTATCCAATAGTTCCCCTTACCTTCACTTTTGTTTTAATAGATGAGTTGACATCACCACTCATAAAAGCGTGTTTACAACGTTATTTTGAATTTTCTAAAAGCACCGTGTAATCAGGAAATATGTTGGACAGATATATTTACCAATCACCTAGGTAAAAGGAATTTTATATTCTTGGGAAATGAACGTATTCATGAGGAGGAAAAATGAATTGAAAACTGCAGTTTGGGAGAGAAAGAAATTTAACAGGGTCAAAGTAGCTCTAAATTCATGCAGTTTTTGGAATTTTGCATAAAGGTCATCAAAAAAAACTTGGCTAGCCACGGGACCATCAATTCTTCACTCCAATGTTCTGATAACACTTGCTCCAGCTTACAGAATATATCTTTTTAGTCAGCAAATTTACTCCAAAGTTCTAGCTTTTCGTCCAGGTAAAGTAAATATTCTATACCAATGCGTAATACTCAAATATATTTTTTTCTGTTTTCCGTTTTTAGAAACGTACTCTACTTCGACTTGAACTGTAGTGATGCCACAGTTTTTGAAGATATATCTGGCCAAAAGTTTTCCGTTCTTATGTACCTACAAGGCAATTCGTCTCTGGCTGCTATTTTTTGTTACTTTGAATGCGGCGCTCTCTTTGGGTATGTCATCATTTCCTCCATTTAAGCATCGATAAAAGAAAGTCTTATAATCATTGCTTTTCGGTCATCCCTGCGCAACGGCCACCTCCTGATCTGAGAAAGTCCCTGCCGAATTTATGCTTCTACTCTCACAGAAAACCTCCACACGGCGGCCTCCTTCTATCTTGGGATTGCTCAAATGCCTAATTCTACGTCCATTAACGGTCAAGGAGGCAATATTTTGCAAAGAATTGAAAAAAGAATTGCAAAATTTTGCCTAAGAGATATCTCCTGATTCAACGGTCGACTCCTATTTAAACCAAGGCAAAGATGCAGTAGCATCAGAAAACACAGTCGATATACATTTCATAAAATAGAAGGGGAACATGAGGGAAGGGGGTCCAGAGAAGCAAGCTGAAGCCATTTAAAATATTGATACTGAAAGACCAGAATTGAAAACACGGTCAAGACAAGCCGCCTTAGATCTTGTAGATAATCTGTGAAACATTAGGTGATGCTAGCCTAGAAAATGCATTGAATCTCGTCACAGAGCGGCTTGAAACACTTAAGCTCAAAAATTGTACGCAAAAAGTATATGATTATTTTAAAAAACTTTATAAGAAAACTTAAGTTGAATAATTCATGTTACTTTTATTTGTTTGATGTATTCCTCTCAATGGAAAAAATTGCTCCCTCCTCTTCCGGCCACCCTTTTTCCGATAAAAAAATATGTAACAAACCTCCCCTTAGCGGCCGCTTCCAAAGCAATGGTCACGTAGCTTGTTTCTCGAAATTCGCCGCTATTAGAGGTTCCACTGTACCATCCATAACATTGTTTAGTATCTAACTGTTTAGTATCGAGTTTTCGATCTATGTTCTGACGTTTTAAACTCTGAAGAGTGTCAGACGAAAACTTTAGTTTACTAAATGTTTGCTTTTTTCAAAGCCATTTACATGTTTAGTATCTCTTATCCAGTATACTATTGTAGATATATCATTTCAACTTGAAGCAACCTTTTAAGTGTAATTAGCTATGCATATGCATATTAAACATACAACTTTCAATTATACTTTGGAGATGAATATACAAGGAATAAATTAGAAATGGAATAAATCAAAATAATTTTGTTATCATAAATTATTTTACTGGATTTTTATTGGTGTGAACTTTAGTTTGGACCTGGAAGTTTCTTTTTCTAAGCAAAGGCAGAATCCATCAAATGGTATAAGGGTCAAGGCACTGGAGGTAGGAAAATAAAAAAGGATATGGCTATTTCAAGAGAAAAGTGCTACGATTCTTGTAAAGGCATGCTAGACACAGGAGAGCATTCAAATGGCGTTTCCTATTATGCAGATTTTCGGCTCTGTGTCTGCCATGTTGGTCAAACAGGACGAGAAAACCGTGATCTTGGCTGGATAAATACATATATAGGTATGTTTACCTGTAGTTATGAACAGACCAAAATCACAATTGGTTGGTTAAAAGATAAATGTGCCACAAGATGCATTCAAATTTCATTTAGTTTTGTCAAAACATGAAGTCAGTTGAATGTAAAGCGGAAAAAACTTCAATATTGTTTTTTATTGCAAATTTATAAACCAAAAAAATGAATTGTGTGTTTTCTTTGAATTCACAGTTGTCATCAAGTTTAGTGATCGCAATGACATATAACAGCAATAACACAAGCCTGCTTCAAATTGAGCAGAGAAGCTTGACGCGTGGATAGGTCAAGAAACAGTTGTCCTGATTATCTTGGCCTCAAAAAAGAGTCAAGTCAGACAGTTAAAGCATGAAGCTGAAAAATGGATGGCCTAAAAGGAGAGTATGCTCGACCAAACCCCCCCCCCCCTCTATTGAGACTTTCATACCCAGAGTAAAATGCATTCGTTGCGAAAAAAAGGTTTTCTGGAACAGGCGTTAAGCTATCAATTTTTGATGCAAGATTTTGCTTACCCATTACTCGGTTTTTTGTGTGAATTTTAACGTTTTAAGTTGTTATTTTTTGATCGTTGCAACAATATTTAACTTCGAAAACGTATCTTTACATGTATAGTTGTTAATTTTGTTTGTTCTAGTTAGTTCACGTATCTTAACATGTATAGTTTGTTACGATTCCATAACATGTGTTGAAAGATCTTTCTCTTGCAATGCAGGTGCAGAAACCACTCTACAAGTAGCGCTACAACCAGTTTGGGTAAAAAATGTCTGGGGCTTCAACGGACACAATTCAGGGAATGAATTTTTCAAATATATAGGAAAATTTAGATACCCTAATGCATGCTACTTTAATTGCTCCAGGAAATGGAACAGTCTCAACCAGCTACCAGACGGTGTAAATTATGGGTTAGGTATTAATGAAGGATCATGCATTTGTATTTACGGCCAAAAGGGGAGAAGAAAAGAACTTACTAAGGCTTACAACAATGCTGTTATCGATTATGGTATGGAATTTTTTGCATATCAATTCAATCAGGGTGAAATTCGTAAGAGTGAAAACTTATTTCTAAATGAGTATCAGTTCTTTACAATACACCAATTTAATTTAGCCTCGTTTTGGAAAGTTCTCTTATCTTCACTGTACGACATTTTTTGCTTTATCACCATATTTTTAGGCCAAAAACAATTTTTGTGCTTTTACAGAGAAATGAAGTTTGAAAACTTGTAAGTGATTTGACCGCGAAAATCGTTTCAGGTGAAACTTTACCCTTTTAGTCGCCAATCACGTTCAAGTCCCTTATAAAATTTTTATCTTTGAAATCAACTCATAAAATCAACGTCGTGAGCAATAACATAATGAGAACCTCAAAGTAGACTAAAAATCTTGCTGTTAATCCGGTCCACAAATTTGTCAAAAATTTGGTCCACAAACACATGCAGAATTTTTCAAAATGAGAAGTAAGTTGAATTTTTGTATTCCAGACGTTGGAATCATGCTGCTCGATGAGCATAGCTTCTCAGTATCCTTAAAACCACCTTCAGATGTTAGGTAGAAACAAGTAACAATCTGTAATCAAATGAGCCAGTGACTTTCCGTTCTAAAAACAGACATTTTACTCCAGGGGTAGGGAACCAAAAGATAATTGCTGGGCTGATTTAGTTGAGTCTGAGGAAAACATGCACTTATGTGACAATAGTATTAGGACGATCGCCTCAAAGCATATATGGTTAACCCTTTGCTCAAAAAACAACATAGAAGTATCATCTTGCCATTTTCCATTTCTGCAGTTACTATAGCATTTCTGCCGTTACTATGACAATGTGCAAGCAATATGGTCCCTGGACGTAGCCATGTAGCCACAGGGACCATCTATTTTTTGGCATCACAAAAAGGGCCTTTTTGCAAGCCTTCTATTTTGAATTTCATTTTTGACATTGCAACATTTCATTGATGATTTCTTTGTAAGATTTCATTGCAACTTTTAATTAAAGTTATTATAAGGAATATAACCTTATTTCTACATGATAAATTTATATCCCTTTTTGAAAAATTAATGGGAAAAATTGATTTGGGCAAACATGGTTATCAACCTAAATCCCCTCCCCCAGTAAGCAATTGCCCCCTCCCCCTTAGTGACCCTAAAACATAGCTAAGAGCCTTATATTGCACCATTCCCCTGTTGCTAGCTGAATCCCATTAAAGAACAACATTATAATAATCATGAAGCTTTTTGTTTTAGAGATAATTCATACTCCAAAATGGCAGCCAGGAGAAGGTACATCGTTTGGCAGGAAAAACATTGGCAATTATATCGATAAAACTGAGTGTTATATGGACTGTTCGATGACTTTCAATGAGCAGAAAATTGTTGCCAATGGTGTGACTATGGATGCTAACAACTGTTACTGTGAGTTTGGGCAAACAAAAAAAGCCGCCAATAAGACAAGGTACAGGAACACATTGATTAAAAGATGTAAGTTTATAGTTTGCCTGCTTTTTTTTTGCTTTTTTGTTGCAGATTGAGTTAAAAGAAACAACTTGAAGTGCTAATTTGTATTGCGATCCAATGCACAGGAAAGACTTTCTTAAAATAAAAAAAGAATTCATCTGTAAGCCAAGAAAACTCAATTCTGCTTTAATTTTGGTACATATAAATTCTGTATTTCAATGAACAACTTCCAAAATATTAAAATTTATATGAAGAATTGAGATTTCGTTGGTACAGAAAATTTGCCATAAAAAGTATTTGCTTGTTTTTATTAATATTGATATTTTTTGGCATACTTATTTACTGTAGAAAAGTTACATGCACCAATAATCTAAGTCTTTGTTACTGAAAGTTTGAGGATGGCAGGAAATAACAGAAACATAGCACACTAAAGTATTTTTTACCGACACTCTTCGGAGCGCTGGATAACGACCAAACGTAAGCAGAAAACAGGGGTACCGTCCTAAAAGGTTCGAAATGAGAGCTGTGTTGCAGGCAAATTCAAGAGACCTAACCCATGACCATACCCTTACCATACCCAATATTGCTTGTAAATGAAGAATCTGTAATGAAATAAAGGATTGCCAGAACAGAATTTTGGACACCCCAAAGTCTCTCTGAATTTTAACAAGGGGACTTAGCCTCCCTGAGCCCCCTGAGCCCCCCTGAGCACCCCTGAGCCCCCTTCACGGCACTACTGGCAGAACAAAATTATATCCAAGGATTTCACTCAATTAAACATATATTGGCTTGTTCTGGAGTTAACCTGAATATTTAGAAGATCTGTTTTTATAGCTTTTGAGTGGAAACTTAGACGACCAACTGGCCAGATCAGAATCATAATCAGCAACAATACTGCTAACTTTTTATGGCAACTCACAGTTGACAACGGATACTGCATTCGATTAAACTTTTCTGATTTCCAACTGGCTAACTCAAAGAACTGTAAGGACAGTTATTTGCAAGTATGGAATGGATTTGGTGGCTCTGCAAACACCGTTGGCCTGTATTGCGGTACAGTTGCTCCGCCTAATGTTGAGATACCCAACAGATTTGCTGCTATTCAATATTATTCATTTATATCAAATCGAGCCGCGGCTTTTACAATCAAATATGAACAGTTTTTACCAGGTATGAACTGCCTTATTTTCAAACTTGATAATCAAACCAGATTTTCCGGTGATGAGACCCCTTGTCAGCGAAGTGAGGAGAATTTTTTTGTGACTACGCCCTTTAGATCAGCTTAAGGTTGATTTCAAAATATTTCTTGTAGTCATTTTTTTGCAATCTTATTAAACGCTATACTATTTTTAAACTTTTCAGTAATTTCATTCTTAATTTGAAATTTATTACTGTTTGTGGCGCTCTAGACCTCGCGGCCCTGGAGAACTTTGCCACCTTCTCCTTCTCTCTACTCTCTTGGTGGCGCTACTTTTGGAGTGTCTTTACTGTGTACTATACATTAACTGCAAAAATTTGACGACATTTTCTTCGACTAGATTTTTAATAAGACGGTCACGAAGAAATTTTTGCATTGAAGACTTTTGAGAACTCGCTTAGAAAAAATATGTGGTCAAAACTCAAATTCATGTATCCTTTTAATCTAATCTAGTTTTTACCACTGTTCAATAGAAATAGCTCTAATTGTCTTGTGTCGCCAATTGAAAGGATTCCACCTCTATCTTTTTACACTAAACTGTGCTGTTTCTTTCATTCCTTCAAGGTATTTCACTTTTGTAAACCCAAGTTTTGAACTCTACAGGAAGCAAAATCTCTAGGATCTTATATATTTTTATACTTTTACTTTTAATTATATTCTGTTTATAAACTTTCATACCATAAAGATAGAGAGTAGAGACTCCTCGAGTGCTAAAACATTGCTTTTGACCCGCCTTTGCACAAACTGAGAAAAAATACCGCTTTTTTATTTTCCTGAAATACTGTTCTGTGTGAAAAAGCTGCATCGGGGGTTAAGCCAAATTTCGAACGGATGCTCAAGCCCCCAAATCTCCAGAGAGTCAGTACCTGTGGGGCTAGATATGTCAGCAAACTGTGGTTTTGCCTGTTGCGAGATAGGTAACATGTTGCTATCTCTGTGTTGAAAATTGACGACGAAATTTTATCACGACGAAACTCTGAAAAGTTGTCCGAAATTTGTTTCGATGCAGTTTATCCGCCGAAAATTTATTTCACGAATTATTAGTCACACAAGTGCACTCGAGTTACCAGTTATTGAGTCACATTGCCAGGTCGTTCGATTGTTATTGTTGATGATGTTGTTGTTGTTTCTTATGTTGTTGTTGTTGTTTCTGATTTTGTTGTATCTATTATTTGTAATGTCGACGTTTTTACAAATTTGGAGCCACTTGCAATCAAATTTTGTGCGTTTTAACTGGTCTTCGACATAGTTTAGAGCATTTTTCGTATTTTGCTATAAATCCTTTGGTAAAAACTCCCATCATTTTTTATTTGTTTTATTATACTTTTGTAATTTTGCATTTCCTTGGCTTTAGCATTCCCAGAGTATATCCTTGCATTTGGTAAAAAATAGGCCCTTTTCTCACCTGAATTTTTCTGCTAGAGGTGATAGCATGTGAGTTGTTAAGGGGAAACGATCTTAAATTTTTCTTCATATTGACTTCTAACTGTTGTTTTCATTGACTCAATTTTTCCTTAGATAAAGAAAGTCGCACTGAATCAGGTTTGCATAAATTTTGATACGTTTTCGTAAAGAACATGTTACTACACTAACGGCTAATCGAGTGGGTCTTGAAAACGTCTATCCTTAACGTGTCAACTGTAACGTCTAGTCCGACGAACAAACTATATGATGTGATTATTAGTATATTGCTTAAATCTAATGCATGTTTGTTATACAATTTGTAAAAGATAGTATGTGTACGTTACATCTTCTAACTATAGTATGTGTACTTAATTTTTATAAAGAATGATCGTTTAAGCTTTATAATTTACATATTCGTATCATTAATTTGTTAGAACTATTACATATGTTCTGACCTTTATGCAATCAAACCAACTATCAATGGATTTTGTAAAGTAATTAATTGTACTTTTAAATGAACAAATTCCAACTTCCAACTAGCAAGATATATTTTTAGAAGCAATTTGAAGAGTTACAAGACTGTATCAAATGCCAGCTTAAAGCATTTTGTAGTTTTAATTTTGCAAGATACCATCTCCCTATTAATGAAAAGGAAATTTTATTAACGTACTTTCTTTAAAAAAATATATCTTTATGCATCATGCATATCAATTCATCTTTTAGATATCGTGACTATAGGGATTTCGTGCTCTGTAGGAGTTCTCTTTATACTTCTTCTTGCTTTTGTAATATGGAAAAGGAAAACATTTGGAAAACAAGTTACTGCTGCTCGATCTTCAATACGGTATTTAAAATTTTTGTATACATTTCTTGTCATTATGTTTTAATCAACAGTTTAAATGTAAAAATTTTTATTAGAGTTATGGCTTTTAATCGGTATCACGTACAGAGAAGCCTGCAATGGGAGTGGGCAACGGGGGCAAAGCATCAAGGAAAAGGGCAAAGCAATAGTAAAACAAAGTAAAATGCTCGATTTAGTGAGAGGAAGGGGGCCACTTTCCCCTCTGCCCCCCTTTTCCGGTGCAGGCGTTCTTGACACGTAGAGCAGTCATCAATATCTACCCTTTAATCTAGGATTCAAAGAAGTGATATTTGTGAATAATTTCTCCAGAGTCACATTGATGAATGATTTCTACATTCGTTTTGCTTTGATTGCCGTGATCACTGCATAATTGAGAGCCCTACTTGAATCTTGAATAACATTGAGATTAATTGAAATTTGCTTATCTTGATGGTGTCTTGAATATCTGATGAGAATTTTTTTCATTTAGAACTTCAACAAATCCATTCTGCAGTGATGAAAATGCCGATAAATGGGAAACACCGATAAAAAGCATCCGATTTCATGGAATCATCGGGGAAGGCGCTTTTGGAAGAGTTTACCTTGCAACTTTGCTCGACGCCAGCCCACTAAATGCAGTGAAAATTGAATTCACTCAAAATATGAAAGTAGCAGTTAAGATATTGGAAGGTATGTTGAAAGTAATTCTTAGATAAGTCTGATGGAAAATTGTCTAATATAATTGAAGCTTGAGAACAGGAACTCGGCAGCATTACTATGTTTATTAAGTCTCTTTACAGTGTTTATTTCAGGATTGAAAAAATGCATTTGCTTTTCCCCTATGTTTAGCCTATTGCTTAAAACATCACCTACAGTCATTGCCAAAGTTACTTGGAACATTCAACACTTTGCACTTTGCTTTTCTATTTTTAATTTTTTTCCCGAATACTACTCTTAACTACAATGCAAAAAATTGCCTTCCTGAAATTTTCCTCCCTAGATAATGCAGAAAGCTCACGAAAATCGGAACTGTTACAAGAAATTGAGATGACGAAAGAGGTTGGTTTCCATGACAACGTAATTACCATGTTGGGGTGTGTTACAGATGAAATGACGTCATGCTTGATCCTGGAATTTATGGAATACGGAAGCTTACTGAAATGTCTTCGCGAGGAGAGGAAAAGAGTTCAAACGCAGGTCAATGATCCTAACATTCCGTTAAATTTTTGATTCAATAATAGTAATGGGATACATATTGGTAGTAATGATTGGTTTTTACTAATATTTTGAAGCCTGCCAGCAGAAAAATGATTTTAATTGCGAATATAGCCCAGCAAAGAAAGAGTGAAATGAAAGATTATTGATATAAGCTTTCTTGTGAATATCATAACAGACAAAAGAAAGCATTATTGTTAGCTTAAAGAAAATGAAGCCATCATTGCAAAGCAGTATAATAAACTTTAAATATATTTCCATTATTTAGAAACACATGACATATGCTATCATTTGTACATCAAGACCTTGGTTGATGAAAATTATCTTTCATTAATCAGTAAATGTCTTTCTGGTGTTGGTAGAGCAGCAGTCTCTATCTGTAAAGAAACTAAATCAGCATTTTTATCTTGTACAGAAATCTTCTGAGTATTTGGAGCCAGTTGAATGGGAAACATTACAGCTGACGGTTAATGATCTACTAAGAGTGGCATGGCAGATTTCACGTGGGATGGTACTAGCCCATTTTTTCATTAGTTTTGACTCAATAATCATTTGATCCAAAATATTAAGAATCAAGTGGCGGATTTAAGGGGGGCAACTAGAGGCAGTTGTCCCTGCCTCGACAAGTTGAAGCAAGTCTGGCGCCCCATTTTGGAAATTGTGCACCCCTTTTGAAGAATAAGAATCAATTAAAAATTTCTTAGACCGATGGGTTAATTTGCTTCAAGGATAACCTCAAAGTTAAGTTGTTTATTCTGAAAATTGATCTGAAATTATGTATACAGCGTACTCTCGTCAAAAATTTTTGGGAATTTTTCAGCGCCCCCACTACCAACTGCCCCTCCTTCATATTTGCTCTGTATCCGTCCCTGTAAGAATCCATTATGTACAAGAAATTTTATAAAGTACAAATCATAAAGAAAAACTTTATAACTTATAAACTAAGCAACATGCAAACCTCAATTGCAATTTGCAATTTAAAAAACAACTTATACTTAGAAGATAGCACTTAGAAGCAGGAAAATAGCAAACTGAAGTACTTTTTGTCTGACATCCTAAAAGTATAGACATCAAATAATGCCTGAAAGTAAGCAGAAATGTACACCCAGAAGAAGATCGAAAGTAACGTGAGAGGAAGAGTGATGCGTTTGGTTGGTTCCTTGCTTTGTCCAATCAGCGACAGCTAGCCTCTCACCTAGTAAAATAGCCCAAGAGAGAAAACAACCCTTTTGCTATACAAGTCAGGACATTTTGTTTTGATGAAGACAGATTCGAAAAGCCTTAAGTGAAAAGACAACCTCACTTACCTAATGATATCAAAATGTCATCAATATACAATTTTTGCGCACTCTTAATTTATGAGCAAATTATGATCTAATACTCAATTGTATTCTAATTAATAAATATTTCGTTTTAATTTTTTAAAGCATTGAAGTACATCATGAAAGGGTTTTTCGAATTTGACGTAAGAGAGTTTTGGATGTTTGGAGAAATGCAATTTTTTTAAATATGGCTCAATGCAGAATAGACAGAGGGGTACATTATCGTTGGCTGTGAATTTCCTTATGGCCATCTAGAGCTGTTCTGCTAATTATACCAAAGCGTAAGCTTCTGGATACATCAATAATTGCTGATTTTTATATTCATAGGAGCATGTAGCGCACAAGGGTATTATCCATCGTGATCTTGCAGCGAGAAATGTACTGTTAGGCCCAGACAAATACTGCAAGATTGCTGATTTTGGACTAAGTCGCTTTGCTGATTTGGATAATGTCTATGTAGCTAAGAACCGTCACAAACTTCCTGTCAAATGGATGCCACTTGAAGCGATAATCGATCAAAAGTTTTCAGAGTTTTCTGATGTGTAAGTAAAAATATATCAAATAGGCATGATATATTCTTAATTTGTGAAATTTTATTACCTAACGTTTCAACTGATCCTGTTTGGTTAAAAATATAATCACATGCAATGATAAAATCATCATATGGCAACATGTCCTCTGTTCTTTTGGTCTATTTTGGCAACTTTCCCATCATTTGATCAGATCACATTTGTACAAAATAAATGATTGCTTGAAAACGTATCTATCTTTTTTGTGAAACCCTTTTTATCCTCGTACATTTTTTGACCTGTTAATTGAATTTATGAAAAAAAGCAAGGCAACTTGTCATGCAACTTAATTTGATTCAAAAAAACATTTCAGCGCTGCATTGATTAGTACACGAAAGATTGGTTCAATATTTCATGTTAATATCAATTATCTATGTTTTGAATGTTTCAGCTGGTCTTATGGTGTGGTGCTTTTTGAGCTGGTGACTCTAGGTAGGTTAATTCTTGTGCAATTCCTTTACTTGCCATCAAAACACCATATCTAAAGACTTACATAAAAATCATTGTTGTAGCACACGAATTTTCATTTGATATAAAGATCATAGAGGAGGAATCAAAGATGGAATATATCTTCTTTAATCTCTGTTATGTTTTTGAAAAAGCCGGTCTAACATCAAAAGTCAGCAAAGAATTCAAAAATAGAAATCTGATATCTATTATCGCGAATATTTCACCAGGCTTGGAGGGTGTATTCAGAAATATAAAAGAAATATACAATATGTTCTGTAATCAAATTCATTTTTTGCTGCTAAGAAAACAATACTTGGTTAATATTAGTGAACTTTCTTCTATATCATTATTGTATCTGGGAAAGAAACTCTTAAGCAGCGTTTGGAATCAATATATAGTTCATCTATACAAAAGAATAAGAACGTTGTGTTGTATTAGGATGTTAAGGTAAGACGTAAAAATCAACTGTATTTTTAAAACTGCGTCTAAAAACTATTTTTCCATTAGGTGGGAGTCCGTATCCAGGTATGACAGCTATAGAGATGGTTCGCTTTCTGAAATCTGGTGCTCGCATGGCAAGACCTGAAAACTGTTCGGAAGAAATGTAAATGTTTTATCCATGCTAACTTTGTACTTATAGATATCATACTCTAAGATAACAAAATACAAAGCCAGGCAGTTTACCATTTACAAGTATTGTAAATATCGTTAATAGGACCTCCACCGAACTGATAACTCAGCGGATGCCAGTTACTGTCCTTTTTAGAAGCTGCAGTTGTCAGGCGACTACCTTTGAAAGCTTAAGTCATGGAAGAAACTTTTGGAGTAAATAATGTCTTTGTTCCATTTTTTAATGGAAGTTTTGTTTTATATAAATTTGCTAATTTTGCATTCTATTTTTGAGATGTGACTCATCTGCGTTTCTCTTCATAACTCTATCAGTAAGATGCTAATTAAATTTTCTTGCTATTTCCCTTTTCTGCTCTAACGTTTACCCACGTACTTTGCTTCCAAACTAAAATATCTTGGAAGTAGCCAATGATTTTTTTCTAAAATGTAAGGAAGTACATATTTTCGGCTTACATATCAATCTTTGTTTTAGGTATGCTATGATGCAACGTTGCTGGTACACGGAACCAAAAATGAGACCAACATTTTCAACCATAAAACAACAACTTGAAATGCTCATGTCCAAAGAAACACCTTATTTGGACTTTAATCTGGATTTCAACAACGAATACTATCTATTTCCTTCCTTCAAAAGTGATGATAATACAGTAGACGATCTGATATTCGAATTGTAAGTTACATAGTCAGGTTGTAGCATCTTATGGAGCCAAATCGTCGAGCAGATAGGAATGCTAAAGACTGAAACATTGTAAATTTAGTCATCCACTAGAATGATTTGGAATTGAGATGAACGATTCTACTCAGGTCCTAAGACATTTTCGCTCTTAAGTTATTTTATTAGGTTTGAGGCAGCAAATGTTTATCTTACTTAGCTTATCAGTACAAAAATGTGACTTTTCATTCATTGTCTTTGCACGAATTCAAAATTTATTCTATCATTTCTGTCAAATAAGAGCTCCATCTTGCTCATTGCAACCAAAAATGTAAGGCACAATGATGGGCTTTATTTCAAAGCAATATGAAATGACATTTCAAAGTTAGCAAACACGCAAAAATTGGCAAAAACAGCTTTTTTTAATAAGCAACAATTTTATAAGCAACCTTGGCTTGGATGAGATAAATGTTGAAAGAAGTTGTAAGCAGCTATAGAAAAGTACTGAACACATTGAAACCTGTCAGTTTGATGTAACACATAGTTATAAATGCTGTTACAATGTCACTGATTGTTGTTTTGCTGTTTTATATACGTTACAGAAATTTTGGGGTTGTCAGCAATTTACTGACTATATTTTCTATAACGTATAAAGATATTGCTTTGAAGAATAAAAGAGACCCAAATTCCTTCAAGTTTACTAATAGGAGAGAGCTGGTGCCTGGTACCTGTCATTCCGCGTGCGAAAAGTTAGGCAAGTAATAAACAAAGTTAAAGGTTAAAATCTATGAAGTTTAAATCAATTTTTAGTGCTGGTCCTGTGCCAATTGGCTTATTGACAAAAAATGTAATATATAGAAATGTGATAAGCCATTGTATCATAGATTTTTCTATTGACGCAATCCAACGTTGATATCCAGTTTTATATGAAATATATATGATGGCTAATAAGGACTTCCTACTAATGAAACTTCAAAGCTAGCCTTTCCCAGTTTCAATTTCTTCATTTTCTAAATTTCTTAAAAAAAATTGTATATAGAGAAAGCATTTTAAGCGTGTTTTTTATATAAAGCAATTCAATCTTAGAGAGAATAATGTCAGAATAGTGCAGAAAAATGTAAGAAATAATAACAGACTCCGTTGAATATGCGGAACCAGTCCAGTTTGATGCCAACAGTACTCAGAATGGTAAAATCATTCCATTATTTTTTTACTTCAGTGCAGGAATTTTAGAATATAATTCCAGGTTTTTTCTCAGACAGAGTGCAAATGCCATTTGACAAGATTTCATTCGGTATGTTGTTAAAATATGTTCCTAAAGACAGCTGCCATTTTTTGGGGCATACTCATTGAATACACACGTGAATTTACAACAATTTTAGTCCATCCTTCCATTCCTCGTACCAAAAATAACCTTCACACGTCTACCAAAATGACACAAAGTTTCCATTCAATGCTTTTCTTAGGCTTAAAGACGCATGTGAACGTGCACTTGGGGTTCGCAATGATTTTCTCTGAAACTGCAAGGTATTAGGCAACGTGTGTATTCAAATCACAACAAAATCTGTAATTCTGCATTGATACATAATCTAAAATCGGTCAATGCTATACATGCAACTGTATTCATAAGAACATTTAGGCCTGTTCAAAATGAAACTGCTTGCGGAAGATCATTGAATACATTTATCTACAGCATGTTGCATTTCAGCAACAGCCCTTTTTGCAAAGACCAAATCAAGTTATGAAGAGTTTGACGAATATCATTTTCTGGTTATGAAAGCTTGCTACTTGTGCAAAAATATTAATTATTCCTTGATAAAATGTATATTTTCAATGTTTGAATAAAACTACTATTATTCGTGTGTTACACATTAGTGTAAAACGATGTTCTCTATCTCGAGCTTCGTGTTCACCTGTCACTTTTTCATTTAGCTGCCATTACTTTATATAAACCTTGTCACTTTTGATCTTACTTTAATAAACTTAGCGAAAATAATTGGGAAAAGAGCATTTGAATCTGCATATCTTTTCAACCATCTAGAAATTGATATGTTCGTTCTTTCTAGAGCGTGAGGTTGATGTACCTTTGAAGTATCATCTAGGCAGAGCATAAGGGGGAGACAGCCTTCTATTGAGACATGGTCGAGCCTCGACCTCAGAACCCATAGACTTACCCCCGTCTACGATGTGCTCTCCTTGCTATTCTATCTTCGTAGTCCTTATGCTTCGGATGCTAAATGCGCATTGCGGTGTGGCTTAAGACTATTGTAAATGGTGAATCCGGCCACCAGATCTTGCGTGATTACTTTTTAATTAGCTCCGCATAGCACTTGCCAGATGGGTACGAGGTCTGAATCCAACCAAACCTGTTATAGGTCTTTAGAATCCATGGCAACTTCTACATACTCTTGTTTCAATGTTGTCTGAAAACAGTCTCAATAACAGGGCAGTCTGAGTAAGTTTTTAGCACCTGAAGATAGGAAACAGAGAACTAATTACCAGGACGGTACTGCTATGTCGTCCTTGAAGCAGAGGTCCGCACCGAAATTTCAGCCGAGCAGTATTCTGTTGGACAAGAGGTGGAAGGAGCACGACTACCTTTTGCATACATATCGGGTATGCTCCTTATGTTTTTCAGAACTATCTATATGTTGATCATAAATCTATAGTATCTGTATATTCCATTGATGCATAAATAACATATTTCTCGTGGAGCATCAAGAAATGGCTAGCAATTATTTGGAAATGGTTTGTTCAAACCTGAGTATTTTTGCTATTTTGATGACTATGCATAAATTTGATGTGGATGAAAAGATATTGTTGACAGGTATAACTGTTCGAACAATTTTCAGATCTCTAAAATGGCATTTCGTTTCATGCTCCATATTGGTTATAACTGTATAAACCATTTCTACAGTTAGCTAAAACTCTTTTCAAGTCTAGAGTTGCAGTATTTTTTCCTCTTGCAATGTTATTGCTGAAACCACAAAACGGAATGTAGATTGGCGAGTGTCTAAGAAAATTTTGATGCAAAAGAAATATCGAAGAAGACATAAAAGGTTTTAGATATTTCTAGGTTTTAAAGAAATCAATTTATAAACTAAGCCACCTTCTATTGATCGAAGGACGTTTACAATTATGGATATTATACGAAGAACGAAGAATTTAGAAACTGTGCAAGTTTAGAAAATAAATGTACAAGTTTCAAAATTCGAATAAGCAAATTAACCTGGAAATAGTCCTCTACAAAGCCATTTTCATTGAATTTCTGCTAATGCATAAGATAAAATGTTGAAGCAAAAGTAATTACTTTAAATGTTCTTATTAATACCACATGTTAACAAAGATAGGTGCACTAAACAAATTCTGGATTAAAGAGGAAGCTTTTATTAAATTTTTAGCTAAAAGTACTGCAAGGCCAGCCAACATCGATACCCAAATATCAGTAAGTATATTGAAACTTTTATCAATCAGTTCAAATTAAAAGTTATTATGTACAACAAAAATCCGCAGAGAATGAAGAAATAATAAATCAAGATATTGGAAAGGTGGAATTCAACTAATGAACTTATCAATTTCTATATTATATAGATTTGGATACATTTCAAGCAAAATTGAGTTGCATCATTTTAGATGAAGGGTGTTTTGGAGAGATGTCGATGTCTTTTCCAGTCACCATTCCCTGTGTCTCTTAACTACATATGATATATAACATTTTGGTTAGGCACCAATTCCCTTTGAATAATGCAGCGTTTGTGCAACCCACAGTCCTACAAAAAGATTACTAAAGACTATTATTTCTATCATAATCTTCCAAAGAGTCAGATTAATTGCGGTGAGGGACCATTTCGCTTCAGAGTTGCCTTCCACTGCCTAGGCTATGACTCTCGCCTAGATTAACAGACAAGGATCACATCAAGTCGCATTTGAGTTGGATCTAGCACCTGAAAGCCTTCGCATAGAAGACCGTGTTACACCACCCAAGAATGAGTGATGATTCGAAATATTATCTATCTATACAATTTTTGACAACTAATTGATATTCGATACAGTCCAACTCGTCAGGTGATGAAGTACAACATTTAGCTTACTTATTTTTGGCGTGTTATCATGTTAAACTTTTGCATTATTAGGCCGTTTCCAGAAAGCCCGAGGTACGGCAGAGCCAGCGAACTTGAAATGATAAGCTCAAGGAAAGAAATTGAAGCTAAGCCCAAGATGTTTGTAGAGAGAAACACAAAATCTGCTAAAAGTGACAGAAAAAGGATTGATGTCTACGTTCGTCCAGCAGCATCAGCAGGACCAGGCCAAAGATCCCGGCCTCAAAGTAAAACAAAAAACGAAATATCGACATCTCGTAGCAATGCAATGTCAACACCAGGGAGAAAAAACCCCAAACCACCCCAAAGAGACAAGGTTTTTATTTCATAAAAGCATACAATTGGCACACATTGTTAAGACTGTTAAACTGACTATTCGATTTCTCAAATCGTTCAGAATAAATTGACAACTCTAGCTGCACTTTTAAAGTTCTTTAGTGTGACGTATCATAAATCTACTTTTTTCCTTTGACCACATTATCTAAAACAACGTCATAAAAATACTTTTAAGTAAAGTAAATCAGCTAAATTTGTTCCAAATTTGGATAGGTGTGGTCAATCAACGAAGTTTGTAAACGGATTGCTGATTTTTTGGCTTGGTTCATAAAGGTATGAACAGAGAACAAATCACAGTGATATGATTAAGGGAAGAGCCTGTGCGTGAGTGTCAATGGCTCGGCCAATTTCCAACACGTTTAGCAGAATTTATATATTTAAAGGTATTTCATGATGCTCTTTCGGGCCATTGATGCAAAATAAAAAATTCTAACAACAGATTTTTGATACGTCATCACATTGGATAAACATATGAAAATAAACGTTTGATGAAAATTACTGTGTACCGGCCTATCATAAATTGCTCGATACCGTACAGGCAGAGCTATACACGATGATCGAACAGATGCGTGGAACTCGGAGTAGCAACTTAAAACTGTCCTGTTCTATGCACCAAATGGCGAGTGACTATTTAAATATCTATTCCGTTGACGTAGGACTATTGAATACCTTCATGACCATCAAAAAATTGAATTTAATTAATCGATTCATTCAAGAGCTAAAATATCAAATTGACCCTTAGACAGTTGCATACACGTTTTCAAAACTGCTGATTAAATGCTGACATATTTCATAAGATCTATAAGTTGATTGGTCAGGGTTGGGTTAATACTATATAAGTATGGTAGTAAGCGCTACATTCACTTTCTTCTTTCACAAACAGTGGACAGGAACTACAACTCGAAGATCGGACTACAGTTTGTCAGCACAGGTATGAAATGACTTCTAGTAGCATCATTTTCTTTTCTTTATAGAAATCTATCTTCAGTTAAACCTATCTTTGCTACGACTCGCAAAAACACAACGTTGCGCTGCGTTTGTGTCTGAACCATCAAATGATTAAGTAAATAAGTAGAATTAAATAACATTAGCGCACATACGTACAATATCTCATAACTAGCCAAGCGACATAACATAACAAGCGACATAACTAGCCAAGCAGTGAAAAGATGCATTTGAATAGCTGCATTTGCTGCTCGACAGTAGAACGTCAAAGAAGTTCAGACGTCAAAGAGTAGAGTAGAAGTACCATATAAAGGCAGTTTGATACGCTGAAAAAGATGTGACATAGTTCCTATTTATATCTTACACTCTGAAAATAGAAAAAGGGGACAATTTTCAATCGGGGTCCATATACTATCTTTTTAAGCGTATCAAACTGCCCCTTATTGCAGAGTTTCATGCTATTCTACCAAAGTGAGACTGATATACGATTGCCGTTTTCACGAATCATTATTTGCTCAATATGTATGGAAATAGAAAATATATGATACAATGAATAAATGATAATGTATTGCAATGCTTTCTATATTATTTTGTTATCTACAGAATGATCATTGGAAAAAACATCTTTATTATCGCGAGGTTATTCTCGGAAGGAGAGTAAAGAAAAGCCCAAGGCGAATTAAGGTAATTTTCTCAGCAATTAAAATACCCATGTTTCTAGTTGTTTAATGTCATTCGAGTAAATGTTAAGAAAGTAAATGAAAATAATGAATATATACCGACTTTGTTTCAAATTTTACCTCCTTTCAGATTACATAAATCCATATAATTTAAACTAAAGTCTATTTAAACCCTTGGATGGTCTGATAGGGTGATGTTGTCTAGAGAATCTATTCTACAATTGAACATACTTTAGACTTTACCGATAAGAAACTAGCCGATAATCGCTTTACCTAGCAGTTTTAGAATATCTCTACATAAACATGAAAAACCACTTATGCGTAGACAGAAGGAGTTCGTTTTCACCTTAGGGCTCCATTGGCAATATTTCCAATAGGCAAGCGGCACTGATTGGTCAACCTCAACAGTCATGTGCTGGTGTTCTCTGATTCGCCTATTTCGATTAACCAAGGGTATATATATTTCCTAGCGTAGAGTTTTTGATCTACGTTCTGATGTTTTATACGATGAAGAGTGTCAGATGACAAGCTAAAGTATGTCTCAAAGTGTTTGCTTCATTCAAAGCTATTTTAAGTTTTGTACCACTCAAAGATTGCTTGCATAAGTCTTTTTATTTTCCTTCTGCTTCCAATCTAAAGGGACTGCTACACATTCACTCCATTAATAGTGTTGTTGGAAATTATCAATTTATCCCGTTTATTCATAATCCCACATTTATTAAAACTTGGAAAAATTTTCACCCACTCCCTTTGTTCCAGAGCTATTTGATCAGGAATAGAGCCAATAGTAAATATCATTCACTCACAGGTTCTGCTACAAGTTTCTTGTTGCAAATGCAAAGTATATCTTAGCGATCGATTCAACAGAATTTAGTCAAGGTTTGGAACAACTAAGTAACTTTTAGCATCGATAATAAAACTCTTTGCTCTGCTTTTAGCCAAAACCTGAACCCGAACCTGAGAGCTCTGAAGATGAGATAGAAGAAGAGGTTAGACATTTAAGCTTTTACGTCTTGAATTCTGCAATTGCTGTTTTCTGTTTCTTTACTTTTTTGCTTTTGATCACTTCAATCTACGAAAATCCTTCGTTTGTAGCTTGACAATATCAATGGACCTTCAAACCCACATTCAATCAAACCCCCAATTCCGCCACGAAATGACCCTACTCCAGATCCCCAAGATCCAATGGAGGTTGATGACGAATATGAGGAAGACGACGAGGTGAGTAGCAAACATGCAGCATTTGCAATATTAATTGGAAACATTGGCTTTTGATGCGGCTTTCGTTACATACATTTTCAGCAGGTGGTTTACAATTAAATCAGAAAAAACGAGTATTAGAGAATAGAAGCTGTCTTTGTATGGCTAAAACAGTTTTTTAGAACCCTTAAAGCCTGAACAAGGCTTCTTTTCAAAATGCACCCCTGAAACATTTGATGAATCAATCGAAACACAATTTCAAAACATTACTGAACACATTCATCATAAAAAACTCTATTAGATGAGAACCAGAAACTAGTTAAAGAGCTTCGTTACACTGCAATTTCATATGGACCATTTTAGCGATACCATAAGCAGCCTGACTCTGTAAAACGTAGGAACTTTCTGGAGGGATTTAGTACTCTTTCAAATAGTAATTATGAATCAAAATGCTATAGATATGGTAGGCTTACCATCGTCCATCATTTATTGCCAATCCTTAATATTTTCTCTGATTTACATCTGACTATCATAAACTTGACAGAGCAACAGGAACATGAGAATACCAAAAAGACCTTCACTCAAGCCAAAAGATTTCATTCCACCTTCGCAGCAGTTGAAGATTGTAAGAGACGCTGAGCCCAGTAGTGATTCGTCTTGGAGTGATTCGGATTCAGACGGGGGGCCAAATTTGATTTTGCGTGATGGTAAGCCTGGACAAAAGTATGTACTGCGTGGCAAAAAGCATAGAAGAAGAAGAGGAAGCATATCCGAGGGGTTCGACAGCACGGACTCAGAGGATGATGAAATGATTCTAACCAAACAATATTTGAAAAAGCCACAGACTCCTATTGATTTTATGGATACAAAAAATGACGATTCCTCAGGTGACAGTTACGATGAATTTGGGAGGTTGAAGAAGAGATACAAACGGCCGGATTCAGCTGCTGGGGAGGAGATTCTACCGCCTTTGGTGATTGAACCATGTGATTTCGGAGATGTCAATCATACCAAAGCAAGGCTTGAAAAAGACACCATTATTATAAGGGAAGCTCTTGTAAAGACACCAGGTATTACATAATGCATCAATATATACTTACAAGCTATTGACTAAAGCTTAAAAAGAGCTAAAATAAAATTTACCAGGTTCATTTAACAAAAATTGCTCTACTCTAGAAATCTTATAGATCTCTGAGGATTTGGTAGAGTTGAGATCCATAGGCTAAAAAACAGTTATTCTATCTCATTAGGACCAGAAACCTTTCATATTTGAGCTATTAAAATGAATTCACTTTTAGCTGCAAAGTATCTTAACAAGATGTACGATTTTTAGCTGAAATCTCATGAGTCACTACAACTTTAGTAACGCAAATTGTTGGAAATGGAGAGTTGAATCACGCCCCCAAATAATATGAAAAGTCTTACATAATTAAATGGTATATAATGCGCGGGGGTTGGTGCTGGCTCCATAAAAGTATGATTATCTTTTATTGCTGGCATCGGGTTGGCTCCCTTTAAGGTCACCCCCAGGCAACATCATGTTCACTTCTGTAATACTTAGAGTTTTCGCTTACGTATAACTAAAATTCATGATAATTTTCGCTTTAATAAATTTTCAAAACCTTTGCAGAACCGGATCTTGAAGTTGTCGTTGACACGATAATTGGTCATAAAAACACAAACAGAAGGTGGATAAGAAAAATGTATAGAGATGAATATCTAGAGGTTAGAATCTTAGTCCTTTCTATGATTAGAAATTGTTAAATGACATTTTGAAGAATAGCAATCATTCATTCAATCATCTTTTGTTTAGTATGATTAGTGCGTTCAGAAACATCATATGCATCGTTTTCTTGGGTCTCTCCAACTAATAATTAACTTTGAAGGTTCAAGCAAAGATCACGTTAGCAACTTGACGCTTCTTCAATGTTTCAAACTAAAAATATTGAAAACCACATTAAAACATTGTATCCAAAAATGCAAATATTTTACAAATAGCAATCATTATGCTGCAAATATGCATTTTAAAATGCATGAAATATCTGCAAGAAAGTTTTCTCCCTAAAAACCGGTGCTTGAGCTATATCGTTATTGTAAGGCCACGGCACTGATACCCTGGATACCAGACTCACTATATAAAATACTAGAGTTTTTTTTATTATCTCTATTTTATTTTATATATAGTGAGTTTGGTACCTAGGGTACGGCACTGATTACGTGAACCTTTAGCGAAACATGAATGTCAATTATGAAATCTAAGCTTTAACTGTTCCTTTTTTCGGGAAACTTTAAAATTTTCATTGTTGTGAATTCATGATGAAGAAGTGTAGACTAAATAATTTTAAGTCAAAGAGTGATGCAAATTTTTCCTACCAGCTCGTGAATTGAAAAATCTTACAAATTGTCAACTTTATCTTATTTTAAGAGTTTTTGTTAGTATACTAGAAAAATAGCGCTGCTCTTATAGTAGATCTGAACTTTATTTTTGAAGTAAAACTGTTTTGATATTGATATTAAGCAAAATAGTGCGGCATAGCCTGTCTACTCATTCTGAAAACCAAGATGACGAATTTTGGCGTAGAAGATCGCTAATAACTCCTTCATTTCTCACGAAACGTAAAAAATAACTTCAGAAATGAGAATAACAGGCCTTTTTACATGAGAATAGATATATAAACCCAAAAGTACGAAAATCATGTCACAGGCATTTTAAACTAAATTTTAACTTTTTAACAAAGCAATTATCATTTTTTCAGAGTCTGTTAACGCAAGTTCGAAAGTTGCTGCCAGCAGATATTGCCAGTGTTGTTTCTTATATGATGCTTCCTCCGGCCGAATATGACGCAATGTGCTTAAGAGATGCCATGAAGGTAAAGAAAGATACTTATATGTATAAATAAGCAATCTTGTATCAAGGCAGTTTTTTCGCTGCAATAGCAATGAAATAGTATTTTGATTTATCTTAATATATTCTTAGTTTATGAACACTGCTTAATATACGAATGAAATCTGAATTAGACCTCTCATTATAAAACGACCTAAAACACACTCGTTATGCTAAAGGTGTTTGTAAGAATCAATTGCGCTAGTTATTGAAGGGGTGGTAAAAATCAAGTATTTTTCAAAATAGCCCAATGAAAAAAAATGAGTTTCGGTGTAAGATGAGAATAGTAAAGAATATGGATGCTTCATTAAGAAAATATTGTTTTCATGCTGAGTCAAATCACGATCCAATTCTACAAAATTTGTTAAAAAAGTCTTGGAGCCCACCATCATTCCCCCATTTTCTGCCACTTGTAAAATATTGGCTTCGAAGTAGAATTCTATGTCCAATAATTTTGCTGCCAGATATTGCATTCTATACTGCAAAATCAGCATTTTATGTCCAATAATTATACCACTGATAAAAAATTGGCTTCCAAGTAGAGTTTTATGTCCAAAAATTATACTGCAATATTTTTTGTATTAAACTTTAAAATTTACTTCCATATTAAATCATAGGGATTGCAAAAGGAACCGGAAGTTCTGATGGAAATTTTATGCACAAGAGACAACGAGGTTCTATTTTATTGCTTTATATTTAATTCATTCAAAATGCGTTATACAAAATTTTTGGAATACAGAAATGATACTGAATGATTTCATGAATTTATTTTAGCGTTATTTGGGCAAAATTTATTTCTTTTTGCCTTATAACTATGCTTCCCGAACTCTCATGGATGTTTCTAGCGTGACATTATTAGTTGTTTTCAAGTTTTCACATAAACAGCGCATTTTAATAGAATTTCTTTTCTCTGTAATGCTTTAGGGAAATTGTATAAAGAACTTATCAAATATGTTTTTTTCCTAGGAAATTGCAGCCATCAAGACTTGCTACAAGCGTCGTAAGGACTCATTTTAGAATCCATCTTATTAACATTAGTACTCAATAATTGGTTTCTAATATCTTGAAATCACTAAATCTTCATTCATGGTGTATCAAGTTCAAAGTCTCATTTTTGAAATACTTATACGGGCTACAGTGTCATTTCAATGTTTTTTTTTCTAATTCTATGCTGGAAGGAGATGGGGGCTGTATATAAACTGACTTTTCTTCAACGCACTTCAGCAAAAACTTTTCTTCCTTCTGTCGAAAAGTTGAGCATAACCATTTGATGTTGCAATTATGTCTAGGCAAGGTGTCATCAAATTTAATAACAAATGAGGTGGTCAGTTTAAATCAATCTACGAGAGCCCGAAGCTTTAAAATTATTCGTAAACTAGCTTTGAAATACCTGCTTCGAAACAATTAAAGTTTAATTTGTTGTTTATCGCGAAATTTTCTATACCTATTGACTTGAATGTGTCTAGCTATAATACCTAGAATATCACATTTCACAAACTTTATTGTTTTCTACCAAGAAAAATTAAACTTAATGGAACATAAACCTAAAAATATTGGATCAAACCCAATATACAATTTAAATGAGAGTCCTCGTGTCTGCGAGCAAAAAGGTATTGATAGGTTCGCAGATCTTGGCTTCGATTCTTTACTGTTAGTTTATTGTTAGATTTTGGCAATTGTTCCTTTGAAAAAGGCTTTTTATGTTTGATTTGATTGGCCTATCTTGATCCACAACTAGGTATATATATTCCCTAGCGTAGAGTTTTCGGTCTATGTTCTGACGTTTTAAACTCTGAAGATTGTCAGACGAAATGCTTTAGTTTACTAAGTGTTTGCTTTTTTCAAAGCCATTTTTATGTTGATTTTTATGTTTGTTTGATTTAACATTTGTTTTGCTTAAGGCTATGCTGAAGATCTCATGGATGATCTCGAAGACGAGACGACTGGGTCTTTCCAAAGGATGTTATTGACACTTGCAGTGGTGAGCCATGTGAAAACCATATTCTTCATGGCAACTTCCATTTTTTCTTTTAGCAGGCACCGTGGAGCGTTGAGAAAAGTGGGGGGTCTAAGAAAGTGGCTTTTCTGGTAGTTTGATACTTAATATTTGGCATTTTTTGCAAAAAGTGGGGGGCTAAAGGCACCCCAGCCCCCCTGCTCCGTGGTGCCTGTTTAGGTAGAGATTAGAATTCACTTATATATTGAAACACAGTTTGATTTATTCTCATTGCTTTAGCACTCCCAAGTAACAGATTTAATTACGCTATCTTTCTTTACAAAAGGCCAATCGAGCAATTGACGGTGGTGAACCGAATAAAGAAGAGTCATTGGTCACGGCAAAGGCACTTTTCGCTGTAAATATAAACTGCTATTCAAATTGTTCTCTTTTTTTCTTTTAAATTAAAACATGTCCCGTCAAACAGCCATCCATGTGAACAATAGGTCCTGGGGGTATTTCTACAAATGAAAAATTGTTGGCATATAGTCCTCGCTAATGGTTCAAGAACATAACAGTAACATATTGTATAACTCAACCAATGGGAATTTGAAGGTGCTCACTAAATTTGCCAGGACATTGAGTACTTAAAGTAGTAAGTTCATCAGTTATATGGTGTAATACAGTAAGATCATATGTCAAAATGTATATAGAAGAGACCTTTGAAAATAAGAAATAAGGGCATTGTAGAATGCATCATATTCAGTCTTGATTAATTCTTTTCATTACATCATGTTTATGTAGAAAACATTATAGGCACAGAATCATATTTCAGAACTTACTTACGTATTCCTCCGATCCTTAATTCAAATCATTCTACAATTTAACGTGATACATTTCAGATACTGGGAGTTGCAGGCGATCAGATGGAGAGAAAGTTTACTGAAGTTTTTGGCAAGCTTGGCTACGCGACTCTTCGAACAATCCTGTCAGAATATAGAAAGGTAATATATAAGCATTTTTGCTACACATACCTTCTTAGAAAATTGATCCAATTACATTATATTTTACTAAAAAAATTTCTTACGTGACATCAAAAAAGTTTATATCAAGAAAATTTAATGTGATTTCATTTTTTCTAGTTTAAGCACCATGATCTTGAAAATGACGTCATTAATCATTTCACCGGAAACATGCGCAGATGTCTTCTCACTATAAGTGAGTCAATTTTAATATTTAATAAAATGTGTGCAATTTCACTTAGATTAGCTGTGCCTATCATTTTAATTTACTGGGTATCTGAAGTTTGTTGGTGATCAAAAAGAAAACGAAAGGATAGCCCTACTTTTAACCATACCTTTGTAAAATTTGTTTTCAAAGACTGCTTTAGGCAAGTATTTCTTAAAATATTAACATCGATATAATATGTATTTATGTCTGTAGAGCCGGACTGGTTTACGTTTCTACCCAGAGCTTCACGCTTAATACGATCATCAGGCAACTTTTACCATCAAGCGATCTTTTAAGATCTATGATTAAAATATCTAGTCAAAAATATCTAAATACATTTTCAGAATACGGCAACCAGTTTTACAAGGACAACCCTTTGTTAATTTTGCCTGCTGATTTGCAGAGTCCAAAATAATGATCATTTTTTAGCCATTTAGTGAGACTTCTAAAACCCTAGTATTTGGTGTGATATTGACATTAATAATGCGTGATACCATCTGCTTCCATTTTCTTTTCAGCCATTTTTTGTAATCTATTTATTTTTCAGTTCAATACATACAGAACCCACCTGGATATTTTGTTGAGAAGTTACATGGAACACATTACGGAGGACTTGATGATGACAAAACTATAACGAGAATTATGATAAGCAGGCAAGACGTAAGTGCTCCTTACTAGAAGATGGCTACTTGCTATAATGCTAAGGTTTCTCAGTTTTTAAATTCTGCTCTGATATTTTCTTAGCGATGAAGTTTTAAGAGGCCTAATAGAAAATTACTCAAGTTTATAGATAACCCAAGTTTTCAAAGATTACGATACCCATACCTCGATGAGTTTGCATCGCATATCAAAGTAGATAAACTCTAATCTAACATTGCTGCTCCAAATGTCAGCAAATTATCACTGAATATGCACTGCCAGCGAATCATGAAATTCACGAACACAAATTTAATGATTTGCTCTTTCATCACATCGCTATGAACGTCTTTCCATTTATTCAACTGTTAGGGTGAATGCCGGTTCATAGGTTCATATTTGCAACTGTCTACGTGTGACTGACTCTTGTTTTTCAATTTGATGACTTTAAAGTAACCAATACTATGGTTAGAATAACTACAGCAAAGCATTCGAGAAAAGCGATTCAACGCCTTAGGTTTGCAGCATACGGTGCTATTATAAGTTATCATATCAGTGTTTTTATACATTATTTATTATATTAAAAGTTAGTATTTTCTAACGATTGGGATGAAATTCTTTTGCAGCGCGATTACAAAATGATCAAAGAACTATTCAAGTTGAGATATGACATGGATTTGTTTGATTACATCAAAAACACGTGCCATTCGACACAACGCGGCCTTATGATGAGAATCATTGCAGGTGAGCTTTTTCTTCAGATTTTTAACTTTTTTACTTCAAAAAGCAATTACTTTTAAAAAAGATACAAATCGCGAGAGTTTCGCAAAACGCATTTTTAGGCAACGCCGTTATTGATGAAAATTCCAAGTACAGCCAGTTTCATTATTAAACAGTAAGGAATTTTTTTATCAGTATAAATCACATACATGATCAGACTAGCAATATTCTTATTAGAACATGTCAATAGAATCTCTTGTCATCCTTTGCTAATAAGTCATCAATAATTCTATCATTGCCTCCATCAGAATCTTTACGCTCTTATATCTATTTCCATCAGAATTATTCAAACGAGCTCATTATTTCTGGTCAACCATAAGTTCTATCAACAGACAGCTTTCTAGGCTAAATTTAGCTTGGAATAATCTCGCTTAATTATTTTGGTAGAAGTAAAGAATTTAAACATATTGAAAAAAAGATATCTATTCTAATGTTCTGGTGCATTACAAACCCCACTATAGGACAAATATGTTATTTTATATTCACAAGTCTGTTTTATCCGACACTCACTCTAATATGAAACACTGTATGATGACCAAAAATGACTTCGTTTGGTGTTATGGTGCAGATGAGCCATCAAAAAATGCCACAAAAGATCGTGCGTGGGAAATTCTGAAATTTTTTTTAGATTGAATTCAATATACTTGTATCAACATGACTTTTTTTTATTATCTAGGCCTACTCCCAGCAGAACAGAGGAAGCTCCTCATGGTATATTAAAAGCTCTTTTTCTCTCCATTTTGTTTCAGTAGAATGTTAACGAAGTCAGTGATTAGTTTGAGTCTAGTAGATTGTGTACTATAACAGTTACAAAGCCATATTTATGCACAAAATTTTTGGGTAAAACATTTTTATCGTAAACGTCCCTTGAACTTTTGGAAATAACCCAGTCTTCTCATTTTGCATCAGTCAACAGTCTTTGTGGAATACCCCGAGTTGTGACAGAGTTCTCTTAGGAGTAAAAGATTATCTTATCTTAAATTTAATCGCCAAGTACAGCGATTTGAAAGTTTCTGTATTAGCTATCATATGTACAGGTTAGTCAACATAAGAAAAACGAAAGTTGGGTATAAGCCCGACACACTTTAATCTACAGTGGCGATTCTGTAATCTGCATTCAACTACTGTTTGCATATATTCATTTCATTGGTACCATCAAATGTAAAATCTCTTCTCTTTCAGTCTAAAGTGCCCAAGCTTGTCGTCCCAGCCGATATGGTGACATTTAACAAACGGCTTTCACTTAATGATGCCATAACCATAATTCTTCGAAAGATTCAAGTCTCAAGTACTTTGCTCAAAAGTCTCAATCTAAGAAGAGAGGTATGCCTTGCCATAAATTTGAGAAATTATCATGCTTTCACAAAAAATTGTTAATTTTCCCCTCTAGAAAATGTATTGCTTACGATTATGGATTGATAAAATAGCACTATAGTTGGGTTTTTTTCAATTTACAAACAAATTCCATAATTCACATTTCATTTAAACAGCGCATTGCCAAACTTGAGGAAGAGTCTGTTGTTGAACTTGAGCTCGACTACGAAGAAGATGAAGATGAAGATGTTGCTCCAAAACCTAAGGAAGAAGAAAATTCAGATGGAGAAGGGGGTGGGAAAGAAGATCAAGAAGAATTGAGAAACAATTTGAAGAATTTAGATTTCAAAGATGCAGATGATGAAGGTGGCGAAAAGAAGAAATCCGTTCTTGCAAATGTTTCATTTTCAACTGCAGCCAGAGGGATGAATAGACAAGAAAATCGAGTTAAATTTAAAGGTGAAACGGACGGTAGTGACAATGACAGTGGCTCTGCATCCGGGTCATACCGTAGGGGGAGTGTGAAAAGCCATAGTCTACCACAACCTGTGCAAGATCCCTCGTTTATTGGAAGGCGAGACAGCAACTTCTTTGAAAAGGTTGTCCCATTTATAAAGGGAAGGAGGAAGAAGGTCAGATTTATAAGTGTCTTTATAAGAAATGTCTTTAAATCATGTATGTTTGAATAAAAGGAGGAGATCAGAACAAATATTCTTTGCAAAATTGATATTTCAAGAAACAAAAGCTTAGCAGAAATACCAGACACTAAATGCATATTTTAATGAATATTTTGGCATTATACAACAATTTGCAATCTAGGGGATCGAAGAAATAGTCTCCATGCGAATGCGAAAGGGTCGGTAATCTTTAGCATTCGTAAAAACCACACATGTCAGCTACAGATTTTGTCCTAACTCTTATTATTCTACAATCAAGTAGCTTATCTACGTAGCTATATCTAACTGAAAGGAAATGGAAAACTTTAGTGAGTATTCATAAAATTTTATTTTGCATTGTTTCAACAGTATTATCGAGGCACAATACAAGGCATTCCGATGGATGAGTTCAATGCCCTTAAAGATGCACAGGCAATTGGACGAGCTATGCTGCAAAAGAGTATGTCGTTTAGGCTATGCGTTTTGAATTTTACACAAAGGAATTGCCAGAAAGAGTTTCTTGTTTGTTATTTTACATTTGTCGTTATCAGATAGTTTCAAGATAAGGACTAAACAAGGAAAATCCTATGGAACTTAAGACCCTTTGATGTTTAAGATAGGCTCAAAGTTTGCTTTTAATTTTAACAAATCATTTAACAAATTTTCAATATTTAAATAACCACATATCGACGAAAGGAGTCGTCGATAAGGGACATAATTTTGCACACTTTTCAACAAAAGTAAACTAGAAAAGTGGTGCCTCACAAAATTTGTAATATTTGTGTTTTTGTTACACATTAAATGTGATGTAATTCTTAAAATTTTAAAATAATATCATTTCAAAGATAGACGAATGAAAGTTTTCTATTGACATTTCAACAATGCTAAATATTGCCTTGATTTAAGAAAAAAATCAACTTTGATTTTCAAATGTTTGATCTTTATGGAGTATATACAGGAAGGTTAATAGAGTGCCAACATTGGGTAATAAATTCTTCACAGGATAAGAGACTTGTAGCAACTCATTTCTCTTTCAGCTCGTAATGTTGATGGAATCTTGAAGTTTATCATCTCACGTAACAACGCGCAAAGACAACTGATTGTCCGGGAATTTTTTAGGAGATACAGAAGGGTTTGTTTTTTTCTGATTTGGCTAATTTTTTTATGGTTGAGAATTTCTTTTAAGATGTCAAAAATTTTCCTGGTGCATCTTTAGCAAGCACTCACATAGATGATTTTTCAAATCAGATAAAGTTTTTAATTCAAATGTGATGCGACGTAAAATTCTTATCAAACATGTAAGATTGGTATAAGCTGGGTAGGTGTTTACATTTTGCCTTGTATTATGTCAAAAATGTTTTAATTTGTTATTTGCCATATGTCTTTCACCATCATAAGTACGCAATGAAAAAGGTACTACTATTAGCAAAAACAGACAATACGAAGTTCTGCATAATATTGGAAAATTTTATTGCATAATTTATTGCCGACACCAACTTTTCTATAAGGTTAAGGAATAGAACTTCACATAACGTCAGAAGAATTCAACTACAGAAAATCATTTATTTTCATTTTACCGAAGGATCTTGTGGATGATTTGCGATTCCTAACGGGTCCTGAGATGGAGGACTTTATTCTTGGATTAATGCTTGCCCCAGAGGTCTACGACTCTTCAGGAATATTTGAAATTTGGAATGTAAGTGTCGTTTAATAAATGCATTCTATTTCAAGATGATAAGCAACAAATACATAATATGTGAATCTGCATAATATATAATTGTTTTTTGCTGTAACATCGAGCTTTCTGTAGAAAGTTGTTCGTATAGCAAAACAAAAGTAGGGTCTGTTTTTAGCAAGGGAATATCTAGGTCCTTCTAAAAAACAGCAAATATTGAAGGTACAATACAAGTTTTTTGGTTGGTCATCAATATTCTGAGTAACTGCATTTGCGTAGCTAATCATCGATTCATTTTTTTGACAGAATGTGCAATTCTTTACGCCTTTCCATAACTCTGGCTTTCAGGCAAAGTAGACTAATGCAGGGCGTTATTTTGTCAGTGACCGTGTGGTCAAACGAAATTTCAGGAAAAAGATACTTCTGTCACAGGATATATTTGCATAGACAAAAGATTTGTTAGCAAAAAGTTGCTTATAACATCTTAAATTATGTTTGGTATTTATGTGTCTCTTGCTTCTCTTCAATAAAATGATTTTTATTGCATATTTAAGACTTTCAATATCAAAGATTCCAAATTACTTTATCACAGGAAACTTTTTTCAGAACCTTTACGGTCACATGAAATCTATAGATAAGTAGCACCCTGGACTAATGCCATATCAACTTCGCCATCTTTATTTGAAAGTGCGTTTTTAAAAAGGCAAATACCAATTTACATATTTCTTTGAACTTTGATCTGCCTGGAAAGGCTGAGATTGCTGTTACAGTAAATGCAGTTTTACAAGAAGGTGGTAACTGAATTGCCTCTTTAAACAGTCCAAACAGGAAGTGGGTGAAGAAGATGAAAATTCAGAGGCACTAACCGATGCAATGACGGAAATTTTGTGCACCAGAGGAAACGACGTATGAGAATATTATTAATATGATTTATTTTATCCCAATTGATATATCGAGCATCTCATCACTTTATCATTGCATTTAACTTCTACCTGTTTTGCTTAAAAACAGGGACATATGTTACACAGTTTTTATGTGGTATGCCTACTAAGTCTGGAGCTTCTTATATGTGATAGTAACACCAAATATAGCCCCCGTGCTATATGATTTACAGCCAAATATACTAGATTGCGTGTCTTACAATATCGTGTATCATAATAAGATAAAGATGAAGGTAAGATCTAATCGTATAAACGATGTTTCGAGCATCGATATCGTCTGATGCAATATTATGTTGATACAATATGCCCTTTCCTTTCTAGTACATTTTTATCCTAGATTGAAATATTTGGTAGGCTAAAAACTCTATCATCTGATAAGATATAGTGCACACCGACACACCGAAAACAATCGTCAACGGGAACAGATCACTTGTTTTTGTAGCTATTTTTGTAAAAAGACAATGACATAGTCTCATGAATTTGTTTTATTCTAAAGAAAGAAGGTTTTGTTTAAAATGACAACTTCCTTGCTACTTTAGGAAATTAACGTCATTAAAAGAGCATACCAAGGAAGTAAGTAAACATGCTTTTTGTCAAAGTTGCAAATTCTTACAGTGTCGTCTTTCTTTGTCATATTGGTTGTTCTGAGCAAAACTAGTGCTTTTGCTGTAAACACAGAAAATTTTATAAATCTTAACAAATGGACGTCTGACAAGAATAATAAAGAATTATCAGCAGTTTTTTGAGTATTGCAATTTCCTTCCTTGCTCGATAAACGCAACGCATTGGAAAGTGTTACCCATTTTTAATATGTCATATCATTTTATATTGTCATTAGCGTAAACTCAAATTGAATTACATGTACCCATGTGTATTTCTGATAGATGTGAAAGTTATGTTTAAGCCTTGGTTAGACCTTAAGTTGAAAGCACTTTTGACAATATTTCATCTCTTGATGCATGATATACAAAACATGATTTTTGTAAGACTTTAACTGATATTAAATTCTATTTTATTATAGTATTTGGAAGAGACCTACAAGAAGATATAGAGCAAGTCACATCTGGATGGATACGATTTCTGTTCAATCGCATCATGAAGGTATGATTGTAGCCAATCTGATTTCAATCACATGAATCACGCACTACTACTAACTTGAATCATATGGCTCTACTTTTCAATGCCAACTTGAAGAACGAAATAGCTTTTTATTTTCAAAATGATAACAGATCAACTTATTTTCCTAAAAAAATGAGGTCATATATAACTGCTATTAATCTACAGTAATAAAGAACGTTTTTACAAGCAGTAATTTATAATTTGATCGATTTTGTTGTAAATATGAAAATATGTGTAACACTTATATTTAAAAGCAAAATACAGATTAGTTGATTATATTTCATGCATTTCTAAACCTTTCTATTTTTATCTTACATAAGTATTTGTCTTACAAGTTTATTTTCATCAAGATTGTAAGCATCAAATTCAAGGTAGATTGTATTGTATTAACGACAAGAATTTATATTTTTTACAAAGTGTGATCGTGATGAAGGAGACATTGTTGACGATAAATTGGCGCAAAAAGATGCAAGCAAACTTTTCGAGGTAATCAATATTTTTGAATTTTTGAATTTGGACTTTAACAGAAAAATCGTTCCAAGCAAAATTTGCATTGTTCAGTTAATCAAAAAAATTATAATAAATAGGGGTAGACAACTAGACAACTTATTCTGAGTGCATAAAAGTTAAGGAATCAGAAAATAATGCATTTGATAGCTTTTTAAAAGGTAACACTTTATTTACGAAAAGTTTTTGATAACGAGAATTTGTGGACTTTTTTCAAAACAAATGGGCCTAAGTGAGAGTGAAACTCATTGTTAATGCTATATCTATTATCTATTGAATAATTTCAGTAATCGTGAAACAAATTATTAGCTGTGTATTGCAATTCTTAAAGCTATTTAAGTGAAAAGTCTTTTGCTTAACTTTTTCTGAATTGAAGGGAAAAAAGTTGAATTAAGAGAGGTTTTTAAATTTCAAATCTATTAAATGAAGTTTTTGTCCTAAAATCCTAAAATTAGAGCTATTTTTTGCGACGAAAGCGTGCTTTGGTCTCATTTCAGGCACACTCAAGAAAAGATCAAGATTATGACGTTTACATTGACATTTTGACATCGAGAAACTCTGCTCATCTGAATGCTACATTTCAGCATTTTGCAAAGGTAATGCTTTTTAAAATAGACTTTAATACCTATCTATTAAATTAATCAATTTAATGTACTCTTACATTTTACACTAACAGATAAAAGCTTCCACCAATGTTTGTAAGAGAAACTAATATAGCGATATGATATAATTTAACGATAGTCATCTGATTGTAGCAAACTCAAAAAACAAGCTTTTTTGTTTTTTATTCATTACAGACAAGATATGTGATTTCTAGTTTGGCTGGGCTACAGATTTCAGCAGTTTTTAATTTGTGAGAAAAAGCTTTCCATATAAATTTGTATCCATATTAATTTGATAATTCCATATCCTTGTTAATTTGATAATTCATAGATTACTGGCAGTGATATTTTGGAATATCTTGAGGCAGACATCAGTGGTGACTTTCTAGAAGCTCTGACAGCTATTAGTAAGTGCAATTTTTCTTCACATACGTCATATCATAACTTCACCGTGCTTTGTAGAATGCTTATGTTTTTTAACAAGATAAAATGCCTTAACCTTCCCCCCCCCTCTAAAAAAAATCAAACATATATTGTTTTCAATAAACAATTATTTTGTTTCTATTTCTTTCAAACAACTGTACCCCAAAGTTATCCTATCCTTTCTATGGTAATTATATTTTGCTTACGTTTGTTACATTAGCAGCATGTTTTTCTTTCTTTCTAGTTTGCAACTCCCGTGATGCACCAATGTATTTCTGTGAAAGAATTTACCAAGCTATGGCTTTTCATCCAATGGATGTAAAAATGCTTGTGAGATGCATTCTCACAAGGGCAGAGGTATTATCTTTGCTTTTTTTCTATCTATATCCTCATTTCTAAAAGAAAGGGATTCCTTCAGGTGTGCTTTATGGAGGTAGCAATGCAAAGAGATCGACTACCTACTATAGAAACTCTTTTCTGAAATGTTGCCTGTCATTTATGTAATATGAAATATTTTTTCGTAGTTGTCATCAATTTCAAGTGTATGCCTTTTGCGATAAAAAACAGTTATTGAGAAAATTATTGATAGGGATTTATTCACTGCTCAAAGACCCTTTGAATGCAACATAATGCAAGAAGATGCAAAAAATGAAACTGTTGACAATGCAATCATGTTGATTCCAACTTGCCTTGTTTCAAAAAAATCTAAAGATCTCTTGTCAAGAACATCTCAAAGTCTGTTTTGTACCAGAAGCTGTTTTTGGTCTTGTAACCTTCACTGTAAAAAAAGGCTTATTCTATGGACGGTTCTTTTTGTTTGAGAATTTTTCGTTCCAAGGTTATCAACAACCCATAAACTCTGTCAAATGATACTCTTAGAACAGTGATTCAAAACACTGTTTTTTCTAGCCACTTATAAGAAACTTAATGAAAACGTTTCTATATAGTGTGATCTCAACGACATTAAAGCAACGTTTCGACGAACTTACGGAAGATCTTTGTATAATATGGTTGAGAAAGAATGCATTGGCAAATATAAAACATACCTTCTGGATGTTATTGGAAAAGGGAACAATGGAAAAAAGAAAAGATCAAGGATTTGGAGCAAAATGAAATGAAACACCCTATAAAATATTTGTTTATAGTACATTTTGTGAATAGAATTCAAAGAAGCGGAATTTCGTGAAAAATTTTAAATCTTAATATGTATGTCATTTCATTGACAAATGTGATATGTCTTTCAGAGTATTTGATAGAAAATTTATTCACTTTTTCACGTAATCAAAATGTAGCAAATAATGCCAAAATTAAAGATAATTGTCAGCAAGTTTCTAGGGTAAAGTTGTTTACCCTAGTAATATTGAACAATGATTTTGAACAGTAACTTTACAGTATCCCATTGATCTTCAGATTCTTTTCAAATAAGCTAATCTCAAATTTACTAGAAATGAATAAATTTTAACTACGAATGGGTCTGACCCTAATCAGACGCTTATTTCTTATGCTTAAAAACATTTGCATATTCTCATGCACGAAGGAAGATTATCATCGAAAACAAGAAAAATTGACAAGAAGGATTTTTACTAACAGGAACAATCTTACCCACAAGTGTATCTAGAAATTAGCTGACACCTCCCCCCTATACCTTGCCTCTAATATCTACGATGGCTGATTCAACCTCCAAATCTTCAATTGTTGTCTAATATTTTGATCTTCTAGTACCCTTTAAATCCTCAGTCGCTAGTTTTTAGAAGCAGCTTAACAGTACATCAAAGTACATCCCAATTTTTTGCGTTTTCTGTGAATTTGGTTCATGGTATTTTGATGCATATCTTAAACGTGTCTTGAATTTGAAGAGAATTTTTTCCAAGCATTTTAAGTCTTTATCATTATTTTTTGTGAGTTTTTTATTGTGAGTGAAGCTTTTGAAACTTTGATACCGCAATTTTTGAAGGTGGCAAGAAAAAGCAAAAACACTGCATACTAATATACTTTTCATTTGACACATCTTGGGGGTAAAAACTTCGGAGAATGGCAAAATCTACTTTTAACGTCGGGTATGACGAAGTTATTCTCGATCAGCTTCTGAACATAGACGATCTTGCCTTTGATCAATATCCAACGGATATGCTTTGAGTAATGTCAGACAAAAAGCGCTTTAGTGTGCAATTTTTTTTCACTTTTTCGTGTTAACTTCAAGGTTAATTTTTACTCCAACGTTCCAATAGCGCATTTTGCAATGCACTCGACTCAAATTCTAGCGGTTCGGAATTCTGACGGGCTCTCCACCTGAGCCAATGATCAGTGCAAAAACAACAACCGACTTTCAAATGCTCAACTGCTACAAGAGAAGATTGTAACCTGACAATCAAGAAAAGAAAAGCGCAAAGTCTGATTGTGAGTGAGTTGAACAAATAAAAATCTCCTTAAAGTATCTTCTATGTAGAGAAAGGATTTATTTTGCAAAGTATATTCGAAACCTACAGTTTCAGAAAAATCAGCTGCTGAAAAGTGTCCTCTTGAATCCTTTTTTATTTATTTAGGGAATCAATGTTGGCAGAGGTGCCGTGCCATGGAGGGTACTTGGGGCCTTAACCGTCCTTGTTATAATTCAGAGATATTTGGTGGTGGATAGCCCCCTTAACCAGTATATGTTCAGTTCGGCGAATTCCATCTTGGCAATGAGAATTAACCTTGTTGTCTACAGCACAGCCCCTTTTTCACACCCCCCAACTCCCTGGTGGGCCAATGTAGTTAGTTACATTTGCTTGCCCCTGGGTTGGGCGGATGTTCTGGGTTGGACGCTGACGCTCCAAAACGAAGAGCCTCTCTCTGCAACATTCATAACGAGGCTTTACAAATTTTGGCGCGCTTTGTAGGTGTTCCATTCGGAAGGGATGAGTAAAAATTTTACTTTTCTAAAGAATCAAGTGTTTACCATTTAGTTGGTAATGGCTGTACCTTCTTGGTTGCGATCAAGGGAGACTATTCCAAGTGTTAATATCGGAAGAGGTTTGTAGAGATGAAATGCTACCTTTTTGGATGTTTTATGTTTTTTTTCATTCGTTTGCTTTACAACACGACGAGCTTATGACACACATTTTACACCAATTGCTCGAGAGAATGAGGAATGAAATAAGTGATGGTAGAGCAGCCATATTGATAACGTATACGGTCGAGCCCTAGTATAGGGATTAAACTGCCTTAACTTGAACTGTTTTTTTGTGGCATTATTTCAATATTTTTAAGAACAGATTTGAAACACATTGGCAATAGAGGCAATCAAAGAGATATGTTTTTAACATTTAGTAACTAGAACTGGGTAGTGGGTAGAACTGGGGAGCCGTCACAGTCGAGGTCAAACTAGAGGTGGATATGGCCAAATGACCTATGATATTCTATCTAAAAGAAGACATCAAACTAAAACTTGGATTCCATAATAAACATTCATCAACATTTCTTGTGCCATGTCTGGTTTTTAAAGTGTTTGGCTTAACCAGTAGATTTTACATGGTTAGGAAGTGGTCATTGAGTATCTCTCATGGGGATGGCAGAGGCTTTTTGGAGGGGTATGTAACAAAAATGTGATTTTAAGGAGGGGTTTCAAACAAATTACACAAAAATGGAGAGGGTATGAAACAAATATTGTCTTAATTTGAATAGTCTGTTTGTACTTCAGAACTCTACTACAGCACAAAAAAGCAGCAACATTTTTAGACATTTAAATTTCAAAATTTTCTAGAATAATTCAAGTAGTTAAATAGTCTTAACAAGTGTCAGTCATCATCTGATGATTCTCCAGTATGAAAGCAATCAAATAAGCTTTTCTGACATCTTTTAGCTGCAAATTTTCTTTAAAAGCCTACACATCTGAAAAGAAGGATATATATATATTGTTCTTCAACAACCACAATTACCTCAAAGAGTTTCTTTCAAGCAGTGAGAAGAATTTTGTCTTTAAGTACCCCTGCACAATTTAGTTATTTTGAAGAAAACTTGATGAATGAGCAAGCTTCAAAATGCTTAAACCATTAAATTTATAGATACCTGGAAATAACATTTTTCCCTTGAGAAATATATTATGATAAATATATATACCAGCATGTACCATCTAGATATAAGAGAAACACAGTTTCTTCAAATAGCAAAAATGTCCATTCTTGAAAGGAAAGTAGAAAGAAAGGGTGTTATCCTGCCAAAATTTTTTAGATCTCTTGATTGTAAGCAAAGTTTTAACAAATAAAGAACTAAAACTTGTCTCACATTAGCCCCACACTATTATGGAACTTGTCTTTTTTATAGCTTATTTTACACCTCTTCCTTGCAACAACAGCTTCATCTTTGGTACACCATCAGGGGCAAACAATTGATCAAATATTGGGGGCTAGCCAATTGTTTTACTAAGGTGAATTCACATTTCCCCATTGTTTTAGAGAAAAAGACCATTATCCTCCAAAGTATTGAGGGACAACAACCCCTCTCGCCCTGTACCCAGGTGTCTGCCACTGTACACAGGGTGGCTTAATCATTTGACATCCTCATTAAATTCTTGTTAAGTTCTTTTCATAAATTTTGTGATTCCTCTACCTACAAATAAACATTTATCAAACTATTTACAAAATTGGAATAACTGATTCTGGATACATATAAAATAAAGTAAAGGGACACAGCAACAAAGAAACAAGATAATTTGTATGAAGGGGACTGAGGAACTCTCATAGGAGTGAAGCTAATTGAAGAGAGATCACCCCCTGGTTTTGCCAGTGCTAACATTATCATTCCAAGCTACCAGTCTGTCTACTTTGCTTGGATTTTGGCCTGTACATAACTGCAAAATTTATCTTAGGATGGAGTTCCAATTTGCAAATGAAGCAAGTATTATGTATATAGTTTTTCATGGAAATCCTCTCGAGATACATGCTTGGAAAAACTTTTGTCAGAAATTTTAAAATTGAATTTGCCAGAAGATATCCCCACTGCTTTCCAGTAAAGTGATAAAGTCTCTTAAGACTGAAGAATTAGATGTCTCTCTAACTATATTTGATAAATGCTATGCTGTATAAAGTTCAGACAAGTGTTTGTAACTTAATTGCATTTGTATCATGTTTTTTTGTTTACTTTTATTCAGGGAGATATCTTGAAAAAGTCATTAATGGATTTGAATGTTATTATCAAGATGAGTATCATGTGCATGGAGAAATGGGGGCAAGTATTTTGTAGAATTGTGCTTCAGTTTAAAGGGCCTCTCCAGCCGAAAAAAAAGTTTTTTTATTGACTAAAAAGTTAGCATCTGGTGCGTGTATTAGGGTAAAGCTCGTTGTTTTTGCAAAATTCCAATTAGTTTAGAAGTTATAAGGCTTTAAAGTTGCACCTTTCCGAGAAAAAAACGACAAAAGCAGAATCAGTTTGGTAGCATTCTGACATCACAGTGTGCGGCTCTCATTCGCCATGAATTTAATATATCTTCCACCGAATCGTGAAGGAGACATGGTCACACGTTGATAACTGCATCTAAATCTACAGCAGGAGCTTTTTAGGATAAAAAAATATTTACAATCATTCTAATTTTGCGGGTCGGAATGTGTCCATGCTGTGTCACGACTTTGTTTTGATCACCTGTGTAGGCCCACAAAGCTACGGCTTCCTGTTCCAGCTCTTCCCTCGCGTATAATTAATCGAAAATTGACACTTCAATTGTCCTCCAGAAACCATGAACAACTAAAGGCTTTAGAATTGATATCTGAAGTGCTCAAACTAAAAGCCGGTGGAACAGAACCGAGAGTACCATCACTTGCAGTGTTCAATTTGCGAATTGTCATCGTTCGATTTGGTTTGAGGCAAGACTAACAAAATACACTGTGACATCAAAATTGCGTCACAGTGTCACCAAACCGATTTGTCAGTTAATTCAATTCAATTATCGAAATGCAAGAGCTTATATCTCACAAACTGTAAAAAATATCGAAAAAACAAATAACGAATTCGTGATCAGCAGTTTCAACTCCTTTAGATTAGCCAATAAAATGCAAGTGCAAATTTTGGCTGGAGAGCTCTTTAAGTTTACCCTTTTCCCCAGTATCCTTTCTTTATTTAATATTTTCTCTGATTTGTAACTTCAAAATCTTATGACAAGATTTTTAAAAAAGACAATCAAAGACCTGTAGAATCCTTTCCAGATCTTTTTGTTTCATGTGTTTCATTACATGGTTTTGTTTACAATTTGGTTTGCTGAAGTTTCTTTAGTTTATATTGATTCCTAATCTCTCATCTTTAGCCTTGAACATGGTTTCAGCCGATATAAACATCCCTTATTTATGGATTAGTTTTTCATGATTTATTAACATGCTTGCAAGAGTTTACATAGGTATGTTTTGCTTCAATGATTAGTATGTTTATTCTCATAAATCTGCCATAATTTTTCGTAGACTTTAGCTTTGTTGGGGCAAATTTTTGATCATTTTTGTCCCTTTTTTATAGATGGCACTGCCACCATTCACAGCAAAGTTTAGCCAAGGTTTTTATAAAAGTTTACACAATACTTTTCTTTCATTGAAACTATTTGAAAAATGTATGATGCTCATTCTTGAAGAATTGTCATTCGATTGGTGGTTTATCATTTGCTTGAAATTTCAGATAACATGAAATTCAGTTAATGTTGTATTCTAGATTTATCAATTAAATCTTACAGTCTCTTAGTTTTTTTGTTCCCTGGCTCAAGTTTCTAATTTTCATGGCTCCATCCATTATTCTCATTTGGGTAGCTTGACCTTCCAGACTAGGGTGGTGCAGCGTCATCCACAGCAAAATTTACCATCAAAGACAATGATGAAGATAATTTAGGTGGTATTGCACCTACTGATAGACAATTTTACTTACAAATCTTGGACTAGCTGAATATTTAGACGGACCAACTCATGAAGATTTGGGAGGGAGGGTGTCACATCCCCTGAAGAATTGGGAGGGAGGGTGTCACATCCTCTCACTGACTTACCCCTAAAGGTTCCTTTGGTTTCTTAACAACCTCAAATTTAAGTGGCCTACTTTACTCAGCAGTTCAGTGTTATGGTGTAATCCATGTGTAGTCCAATATTTTGACCTCATATTGTTTCTGGTGTTTTCTTTAATAATTTCCCTTAATTAATACCCGTGTTAATTAAGTCTGCTGGTCTAAATTTTATGTGGCATTCTTTACTTGAATCTGTGCAGTAAGTTACAAGTAAGCTACAACCTTCGCCTGCTTTTTAGGATTATTGAATGGCCATTTGCTTGGGGTAGCAGATGAAGATGGAAACATTCAGCTGATTGATTCAAGAAAACAGAAGATAAATTCTGTAATAAAAGGTATCAGATTATTGTTGAATAACTTTTCACAACACCAGAATTGACGCTGAACAGTATTTCATCGTTGATCAGTTGTCATACTGCAAGGTCATATAAAACAAACTTTGATGCAATACAATGTGGCGCTTAAAAGCGATATTTGTTCTAATTGACTGTAAATTGAACAATAATGAATTGTGCATTGTAAGCAATTTACTAACATTCCTTCAAGCAATGTCAATAAAGCCTATCTCACAAAAGTTCTCTCCAGTGGCTGGACCATGTCAAAGCTTAAAGTAGTTTTGGTGTGGCTTTTATTTTTGACTTGACTTCTTTAGAGGCAATTGATCAATTTAAGTTAACAATACTTCTGCAAGCCAAGTCCAGTGTTATTATTATGGCATCAGAGCAAATAACATAATTAATATTTCATCTTTTGATATTAAGCAATTGTATTTTTACAAGGAAATGCAAGGTAAAATATATCACCCTAATTTTTTTATTTGCGTTCTCTTCATGCTAATTGGTATTCTCTCTTTAGGTTGGTCAGCACATTCAAATGCCATTTTTGACATTGCATGGGTTGGCAATGAACCAAAACTTGTATGTATAAGATTACTATATGCTGCTTTCATCTCACATTACTTTCGATAAACACCTACATATAATACATATAATCTCCTGCTTGCCCTTTGCAAATCACGCAAGGTTTATACTCTTTTCAGGTGAATTGTACTTTGGTGTGTTATGTTTCAAGTTTTCATGCTATTTTCATAATGTTTGTTAAGTTGGTTTTGTTTTCTTCTTTATGCTGATGGCTTGGACTCAATAATTGGCTTTAGTACACTGACATGATTAGCTTTTATATTCATACATAATGTTGTGAGCACCTTGCTAGCTTTCCTCTAGATTCACAGTTAATTTTAAGATAGAAGGTTCTTTTATTCTTTAGCTTTGGCTATTTGTCATTTGTTCAAGATTTTCTATAACTTTGATCTCTGAAAATATTTGATACAATTTTTCACCCAAACTAGTCTTTATCTCTTTTTCTTTGCCTCATTTTCTATTTTTTCGAAATAAAAATGAAACCTCTTTCATTTCATAAAAACGTTTCAATAAAGTTGCTCTTTGAGTTTTTTTCTATATTCGTTAGGCCCTAAGTGATAATAATTACATGTTTTAATCAAAGACAAGCTACATAGTTTCAATTATTACAAGATACTGTTAATTGTAAAGAAATAATAAAACTCAAGACACAACTATTCGCCAAATTTTATCTTATTTCAAAATGCATTTAGTCAGCATAAAATACTTTTCGTCTGTCATATCAAAATACTCTGTTATCTCGTTTTAAAAACGAAATCTTTCATCTTATCGTGTTTTTTCTTCAGTACTTATCTTTCGACAATACAAACCACTCTTTGTATTTCTTTGCAATTAGTGAATCAGCTTATTTTCTTACAGTTTTGGGATTTTTCTCATCGTAGGTAACAGCCTCTGGTGATCAAACAGCTCGTCTTTGGGATGTTGAGAAAGCCGAGACCCTGGGAATTTTTAGAGGACACACATGTAGCCTTAAATCAATTAATTTACAATTCAGAAGTTCTTCTGTCTTTGCGACGGGTGCACGAGATGGAAAAATAATGTTGTGGGATACGCGATGTCACATGAAAAATGGCTATTATGGACCGATAAATGTTATCCACGGTGCTCACGTTCGTGTAGAGAAAAATTCATTGCATATTAATAGCAGGAAAAGAAAGCCGAGAAGAGCTTCTGTTTTATCATCTGTGAGTATTCTGATTCATAACAAAGGACTTTTACATTATTCCATATTTGCTTGGCTTCTTTTAATAAAGCCACAAAGCTCAAGTCTGAATTTTTGCTGACTCGAAATTATTTTCAATAGGAGAAGGAAATTTGGGAAGGTGTGACACCCCTAACCCCCAATTTTCTGTGTCCCTGAAATTAATGTTACATGTGAATGTACCGAGGTCCTTTTCCCATTATTTGTGTGTCTATGTTGTCAGAATATTCCGTTTTCGTATTTTCTAGAAGTTTTCCGTTACTCCGGCCTACCCCGTTTACGTAAAGAGAGTTTGGCACAAAAACTAAGATTTTCTCAATCCTCCGATTCCATTAGTTTTCATATTCTTTGTTTGGACTCAATTGAAAACTCGCATTAAAACGATACATTCAAATGACTTAGTTTTCAAGTGATTTCACTTCGAACACCGTTTTTGAATGACCCAGGTTTGGTATCAAATTATTATGTTTTCGAATGACAAGTGTATAGGTCTATAGAAACGCGAAATCAAAAGCGGATTCATGCTGCTCCGTTTTCGTACGAAAACAAGGAGTATGGGAACGGAGCCAAGAAAGCATGTTTTTTCAAGAAGATGCAGCTTACATACTTCCACAGGTAGAAAAACTCATAACGCAGTTGTCCGTTGTTGAGAAGTACCATCGGATCACCAGAAATTTCTTCTGAAACAGATAGTTATTCTATCGAATCAGTTGCAATGTCTGATATGCCACGGCATGAAATATATATCGAGGATTAAAAAGCATGTTATCATGTGCACACACGTCGAGAACAGAAAATAATTACTTGAAAACCCAACGGCTCGAGTCGAGTTTTTATACTTTTCTTTTCTTTCAAAACTTCTTTCTCCTTCCCCCAATAAAAACAACTTGTTTAAGGTACAATATAACCCGTCTTGATTTTGGGCTATGCTCGAATTTTTATAAATCAATTCGCTATTCTAGTAACTTATGTAAAGGGCTGAATTGATATTTTGCATTCGTACAATGTGATTCGCATCCTGCTCTATATGATTTAGATGACAAACTATTCAACTAATTTCCATATTAATTAGGACATGGTTTTTCCTGATTAAGTAAAAACGTGTAAATGGTATCTGGCCAGAACTAGAATCGATTAATATTTCTTCAGGATTCTAAACAAAGTGTCACTGCAGTTGTATTTCAAGATGAGAATATCATCATATCATCCGGAGCTTGTGATGGCACAATCAAAATGTGGGACATACGAAAGAACTACAGTGCTTTTAAAGAAGCTCCAATTGCATATCACATGATTCCATACCCAGATCAATCTGCGTCGAGGAAACATGGTAGTTTGACTATACTCGCTTTTCATCTTATCTTCACTTTTTAATATGATATTACGTTATTTTGATTTACAATTCATAGCATATAATATTATACTTTATGTTAAATAATATCATACTTTTGCACGATATTATGTTATATTTTATTATATGATATAATATTATACAATATTACATTTTATAGTATTTAATATAATACTTTATAATGAATAGTATTATATTCTTAGCATGATATTATATTTTATTCTATTAGATTTTATTATCTTCTTTTATCTAACGTAATCATATATCAACTTAAAATTCCTTATTAAGGATCATATCATATCAGATAGTGTTGACACCATCTCACATTAGATGCATATATTTCCAAACTGATTATATGTATTGTCTACTTTTCATTATACTGTATAATGCCCTATAACATTTTGTAATTATTTTGACCGTTTCCCGCAGGATACAGCTCTCTTGTTCTGGATTCAACTTCATCTCGGCTTTTCGCAACCTGCATCAATGACGTCATTTATGCTTATCATTCGTCAAATCTGGCTACCCGACCGTTTGCGAGCTTCTATGGTCATCAATCGTCTACTTTCTACATTAAATCGTCAATGAGCCCTGACGACAGGTATATAAACCAGTCCACTTTAATTCGTTTTGAATATCTCTATGTCGGTATGTCCTTAAAGGCTTGTTCTCAAATTGCGTTTTGTTACAGACTTTTCCGAAGTGATAACTTCAAATGAATAAGGAAGCTTTCCGACTCGTATATAATGTGCATATCACATAGAATTCATGCTAGCTGTTTCATTTTAATTGACAATCATTTATCCTAAAGGATTTATCTGAGGAAGCTTTTGTTTCTCGACTTTGCCCAGCGTTTTATGAAAATTTGTCGTACGTAGAAAGATTTGATGATTACGACGTCATGAGTGACTCATTTTGACATCTTGAGGCCGATCATTGTATGTTGGTAGCGTTTTGCAACTCTTTTCTTCCATATTTTCAAACACTATCAAGCTTTGTAGACCTTCTTTCTTGTTTAAGCATATGCTGTTATCACAATTACCCCAGCAGAATTTTCCAGCCATTTCCTCATTAGCTATCTGACATAATCACTTGATACACAGATCTGTGTCATGGATAAAAGCAATCAATATTACGGGTAAAAATGCATGATCATGAGAAAGGTTTCGGAAACATTCCTATGTTGACATCTTTCATACGTTCCTACTCTGGTTTTGAGAAGTAACAATTTATAAATGCACATTTATTTAACTGAATTCTGTTTTTAATTCAAAGAGACACTAGATATTGGAAACTGATTAGCAATATAAGATTTGAAGCTATAGTCTTTTCTTTAAACAATAATGATGTTATCAATATGATCTTATTGATAATGATGTTACCAATAATGTTATCTTGACGACAGGTTTCTCCTCTCTGGATCTGGAGATGACAACTGCTATGTATTCAAGGTAGACGAGCCTCACCAGCCCCCTTGGGTTCTCAAAGGTCACGTAGGAGAAGTTACAAGCGTTTCCTGGTGTCCGTCTGACTTATCAAAGGTAGATCTACTCAATTCACGCACTGTTTTTGTGATTCACAATGAAACGGTTATTGATGCGCTTATTTACTGATAATGGTGCCTTGACCTTTTTTAGGTATTTGCTGAGATTAAGTGTGTTTATTTTTTAAACCAGCCAGACGCTCCACCTGCTCTGTCAAATTCCAACAATTGTTACAACTATACAAATATAATAGTTACATAACAGAAATGTTTTGATTACTAACAGCTCTGTCATGACAGTCCTTTGCCATCGTTTTGTTTCAGACCAGATAACATTACGGGCTAACTAATGCGCATAGACGCAAGGGCCTAACAACCTCAGTTAACAATTGCCACAAAAGTATTTCAAACATGTTTTGTTTAACGTACTTTCTGTTTATAAGGCTAAACCTGAAACCTGATCCACTGAGGTGGGGTGTATTGAACCCGCTATTACGTTGAGACATCTCCTTCAAAATAAGTTAGGATGTGCTAGTTTAATGGGTTATGCGTTTGTATAACTCCTAATCCTGTTCATATTTGACGCTATGCACTCTCGAATTGTCTACTTCTTCATAAAGAACTATACTTTTATCAACAAGTTTCTGCAGTTGAAGTCAGAAATTTTCTTTTCAGAAATTTGCTGTTCCCTTGGCTCATTGTCTGTTGTTAATGAAAACTCTATTCTATTAAAGAGTCTAATACAGTTGGATTGTTTCATAATTTAAGTATGCATATGGTTTTAAAAATTCTTATCGTTAAGAAAATTTTAATAACATATTACTTTTCTACAGATAGCGACATGCTCTGATGACAATACCTTTAGAATCTGGTACGTAATTATTTACTCATTTATCATGAAAGGTAAAGAAGCATAGAACAATACACGCGGTTCTAATAAGAACACCTTTTAATTTAGTTCTCTAAAGAACACCTTTTCATCTACTGCAAAAATGTTCACCTTTTCTTCTACTGTCCGATGAAACGTTTGATTAAACAAACGATCAACTTGGTGGTGAAAATATGCTTATTCATGGTGATATAACTGCAATTAACGGTTTGTCTTTGAAGGACAATATTTGTAATGTATGATTCGTTATTTGAGTGGTTTATACAAGGAATTGTGAATTTGTGTCTGCTAATTACATTGGATCTGTAGAACGAGAATCGATTATTCGATTAGATAAGTCATAATCGTTATTCGCTATTACTCCTATATTTTAAGTAGACTTAGTGTATTCAAAGTATTCTAAGTAGGCTTTGTGTACTCATATTAACTCAATGCACCCTTCGGTTTCTCTGCCTTCGTTTAAGGCAACGTTTCCACTACTCAGTTTTTGTGCTGTGTTTTTCTATCCTGAATTCTTTGATACTACTTTAACATCCATCAAGGGCTATAGGGCTCTCCATTCAGCAATTATGATATAAAAACTGTGGTCCTCGGGAACTCTATTACTGTCCTCGGGAACTCTTTTACTGTCCTTTGGAATATAATTTTTGCCGCAATTGACCCTTGTTGCCAAAGCAGCTTTTTTAAAAATCTTGTTTTTTCCTTTACAATATAAACGTATTTGGAAAGATGCGTTTTGAAAGCCTCAACCTTCTGCGTAAAAGTTTAATATTTGTCATTATCGTCATGGGTCAAAAAGTTGTTAATATCAAAAAGTCCTTTTAAAACCTAAGATTTTTGTCCATGGTTTTGTTATTGCTGTGCACGGTTGGTGCCCACTCCTCCCTTAAGTCAGTTGAATTTAAATAGGATTGCCTATAAGACTGTAATTTAAAATTATCGTGGGAACGGTCGAGTTTACACTTTCGGACATTTAGCACACCAAGGCTCACTTCATTAAATTCATGAAAAAAATTTGATTCTGCGTCCGTGAGAATCCTCGACGCGCCTGATTCTTCTGTATCTTTCGACATACGCGAATGTGTTCAGGAGCAATCCCGACATCCTCGACTTCGCTGATAGAACACAACTGACTGATTCCATTTCATTTCCCATCTAAAACCTCCTTCTGGTATGAAAGCTGTAGTTTCAAATGTGTTAGCACATTTTGTTGGCTCATTTTGTTGGTTCATTTTGTTGGCTCATTTGTTGGCACATTTTGTTGGCTCATTCGTCAAACTTCGCTAAATTATTGCTGCAAAATGATTTTATAATTACTGAAATACATCTCCCTTCAACTTTTTTGAAATTTTATTTCCTTTTATAACCAGTTAAGATCACTTGCATTGGATATGAACGGGATTTATTTCAGTGACTCTGATTCAGAGATTTAACTCCGTTCAAAGCCAATTTCAGTGAACACAATTTCAATTCAGTGGTTCAATTCAGTGAACACAATTTAGCCAATGATAATATACACATTTATGATCACCCATTTTGAATCAGAACCAAACTTTGGGTATCAATATTTACTTTTTGCAATTAGGTAGAGGTATGCAAAGACCCAAAGAAGTTTTTTATTTTATAGAAATGGTGTTTCTATAGTGCATACGAGCGTTATCGAAGTTTCTTGCCATGTGTGTCAGGATTTAGTCATCCCCATTAAAACCATAGTTCAGATTTTGATGTTGATGCAAAAGTTTAACACGTAGGACGAGAATAATTTCATTTTGCTCTACGGTAGAACCAGCGCTAGAATTAACGCTTCTATCCACATCTGCTTCATGAAATATCCATTGTTGAGGGTTTTTTTGATTCATACATTATCATATATTATCATGACGGTTTGGTTGATTCATCCATTATCATACATTATCATGAAACTTTGATTGATTCATACATTATCATGCATTATCATGACAGTTTGGTTGATTCATAAATTATCATACATGACAGTTAGGCTGATTCATACATTATCATGACAGATTTGTTGATTCATACATTATCATACATTATCATGACAGTTTGGTTGATTCATTAATTTTCATAAATTATCATGACAGTTTGGTTGATTGATACATTGACCCACCATCTGAATTATATTTTTATGATACTAAAATTTCTTATAGGAGGTCATTAAGCAAGTTTAAGCCATCAAATGGTGCTGCAAATAAGCAAATTGGAGCTTGTGTCCGGGAAGGTTAGTTAAATTGTTATATATCGTAAAAGACAAACAACGAAGACAACAGTCTGTGGCAAAAATAGATAGGAAACCGTAAATTATTCATGTTTTCTTTATTTTATCTAAACATCAGATAAATTATAACCTTATTGCCGTTAAGATCAAATTTTGTTCATGTAGGTGATTCTTCTGTGCGACTTGAAAAAGTTTATTCTGAGAAAACATCACGTAGATTTTAGCCGTGAAGGAAGATATCGCACAGCTCGTAGTGTTCCTATGATTTTCAATGAGCTGCAAAGATCTTATTTGAGATTTTATCACGTTTTTGTAAATTTTGAGGCTAACCTCTGTGTTTGTTCGTGCAATATAGCACGTAAGCCTCTGAAACCACCTATATTTGGTTTCTAAAATTTCTTCATATTCGTTAGTAATCCAATTACCTGCAAAACTAAAAGAGCTGCAATTGAATCCGTCTTGACTACAACTGCAGTTACTACTGTGCTTGCCCTGACATATTTTTCTAAAACCCTATCAAGTCGTGGTGGCTGCGATTACCCCCACCCCCCCCCCCTCCCTGGTTTGGGAAGTCCTCCCTCATAGCAGACCCTATGCACATTGCCTTGGATACTGCGATGGCTTCCCCTGCGCACTCAGTAAAGACGGGGGTGGTGGGTTTGAGGGGAATGGCTTTGGACTTGGGTTTGAAGACGTGACCGAGTATAAGGTCTATAGAGCAATAACGTACAATGTCTCTAGTGACGGGTTCACTTCCTGCCCTGGCCTTGTCACTCGCTCAAATTACTGGACTACTTAGCTAAACGACCTTTTATGTTTATTTGATTGTAAAGTCATTATTAATCATTTCTCTTTTCAAGGCTCGATTCAGCATTTGGCTTCACAGGAGCAGATGTTTTATACTAACAATAGACTGAACATTCGATTCAGAGACATTTCTAGCACATGTAAACCAAATATGAATGGATTGATGAGAACGCCTAAAACACCGACATTTTTAGACGGTAATTTTTTTCCATCCTAAACACAAATATCGTTTTCTGTATTTGGTAATTGTTCGAAAGCTTGCTTGCTTTTCTTCTACTGCTTTGATATGTTGCAAAATTTTGTTGGATTTGGCTAGAATTTCGTGAATACGCCCCAGTTTTGCCAAATTTCAGAAAATATTAGCATGTAAATTGCAAGCCGCGGTTTATTTAGAGACCCTTGCGCAACCGGCATGCATTGCGGTAGCTGTTTTTACACAAGGAGAAGTGGGCTGTGTTTTGTTTTTTCATGCAGTATAAGATATGAGATTGAGCAAATAAGAAACACCGCAATACGCCGAGAATAAACAACAATGAATACACGTAACTCAGTGAAGGCTAATATTTCGCCCCGGCATACGGGGCTTCATCAGAGCAAAAAAGGTATGATAAGATATTAGGCCGTTTTTGGTGGTATTGTCGCAAAGTGTGCCGGTTGAGAAAGTGCCTTTAAATTTATTCAACGAAAGCATAGTAAATTGGATTTGCATTGGCTAACTCTCTATGTTAGACCCGATCGCCAGGATCTATTAAATGATTGTGCATATCATTGTTAGATTATTGGTTTACAAACCCGCTCCTGATATCCCAAATAATGTGGATCTGTTTCCTATCTTATTTTTTTCTTTGTTTCTATTGCCCTATTGCCCTTTCTATTGCCCGTTCGTTCACAGCTACCTGTTTGGGCCTCCAGCAAACCACATACCTAGCAATAAACATTCTAGCCTTTCCTTTCTAAATTTGTTTTAGCAGATGACATACATTGCTAACAGAAAGTTGAATGAACATTTATCAACCAGTTCAAAAATAAAGTTTGATTCCTTGTTCTGTTTTTGTAGATTCCGTAGATTCGATGTCCTGTGGTTCTCTCACTAGCGCAGAAAGTCCAGACGTACCAGCTAAGCGTTGTAAAGGTATATTTTCCACTCCAAAGGGACAAACAGAGCCACCCATCATTGTGACGCCATCCAGTACCCCTAAGAACTCTCGTTTGCTTTTGGAAAAATGGCTGAAGGCGAGTCCCAGTCCGTCACCTGTTGGAGTTTCACCAGAAACAAATAAAAGTCTTCGAAATACACTGAAACAGAAAAACAGTGATAGAAAAGTTTCCGATCACACTCCGAGAAGAAAAATTATTCTTTGTGCTAGGCCATCTTCGGAGCCAAAAGTGTTCAAAAGAAAGAATATAAAAACCGGAACCCTAACGCGATCAGCAGCTAAAAGAAAACTTGTCAGCGATGACAAGGAGAACCCTCCATCGAAAACTATTAGAATGTGTTTTGACCAAGCAAGACTGTCTCCGAAATTAGATAAGGAAAAAAACGAGTTTGAAGATAAAAAAGACGATCCGGTTTCATCAGCCAGGAGAAGAAGACCGTTAAGTAATAACCAAGAAAGAGACATTTTAGATCAGCTAGACGAATTACCTGAAGATGAGGAATTCGACAAGGAAAAGTCACCCAAAGGGCAAATTTAGTCAAGTGTATATTCACGATTGACTGTCGTTGCAGTCACTCCAAGGGGTTTTCAGCAGTGAAATACTTTAAAACGTGGTGTGTTTGCCAAAAAGTTTCGTAACAACACAAAAGAGTCTTTCGTGAAACATCTGCGCGTCCTTCGACTGAATGGAAACACCATGGATCCTGGCGATTTTTACATCACAGTATCGTCTGTTCTTGCTATTAAACTCCGATCCTGGAAACCTCGCCAACATAATTACAAAGACTCTGCGGGAACAATCGCCAAAAAGTGGTCACTCAGTTATATCTTCCTTGTGATTCACTTATACCCTACTTTTCCTCGCTAAATTATTTTTTAATTCGCATTCCCTGTTCACATTTTTATGAACCTTTGATTTACTGTCAAGCTTTTTCAAAATGTTGCGAAATTTTCACTTGTTTTAAGAAAACCGTTCATTAAATGTTTTTTCTATGGTTGTAGCTGTTCAACTTTGAAGATTATCATTATTTTTACAATATTCAGATGCTGTATCTATCCTTGATATATTATTATTGTTATTTATCCTAATTTAAGATCGATATGAGAGACAGAAGCCATAACCTCTATCTTTGCTTTTTTAGTTTTATTTCTTACACCTGTCAATCGCAGTTTGATTTAGCTATGCCTTTTCCAGCCTGGAAACTACACTTCCTTGTTTTGATTTCATTACTGTCTGGTTTGTCTTCGGCTATCAGTATTTGTTAGCAAATTCCAATCATTAAGTATAAGAAACAATTAAGAAACAAACAAATTTAACAAAAAAAACTCAGAACTCCAAAATTTCAGGAAATTTCATCAAAATGATTGGCTGGTTAGCATGAAATCTGTTACCATGGGTACCAGAGCTCGCTCAAATCTCTAGCTATTGTATTGCATTGTATTGTATTGTATTGTATTGCATTGTATTGTTTTATATTGTATTGTATTGAATTGTATTTTATTGTATTGTATTGTATTGTATTGTTTAATGTTAGTTTTTACAATAGTGAAAACACACTAACTAAGACTAACATAAAGCAGTTTCAAGGTTTGCATAAGACAGATTACTTACTGTAAAACGAGCATGCGCACTTGTTTTCAAGGAACCAAGTTTTGATCAAATCCTTGAATTGTCTAGTATTTTGTGCTGTCTTTAATGATCCTGGTAGTGAATTCCAGATTTTAGGCCCTTGATCTGATACCATTATTGGATACAAGCTCAATGATATGATACAATTATTGGTAGTTCTAGCAAAAACTTAATGATCTGATACAATTATTGGTAGTTCTGGCGATCCAAAATTATATTCCTGAGACTAAATTATGGAGACCCTGATACCCAAGCTAAAAATTGATGAAAGTACACTTCCCTCGTTTAAGTGCATGTTTTTTATTTTACAAGAAACCTAGCTCGAGGCCTAGTTCTTGAAGTTACTTATTTTTGGACCTCTTTTGATGGAATTGTAGTATTAAAAGTTCCTTAATAATTCCTTACCTTAACTGTAGTGAAAGCATTCCCTCGACACCCTTTGCTCTACTGAAATGAATGAGAGGCAATATACAGCAAAGCCGAAAATGACACAATGAAACACTCGATAGCTATCTTCATAACACACAATTTATCTGGTTTTTAACTCCAAATGAATGGAACCGGCTCTCTAACTCTTAGTCGTATATAAGGAACACCGCAACGCGACGAGAATAAACAACAACAAACACACAAATTGTTTGCTATGATAAAATTGAAAAGTTCCTTAGGGATGTTGTCTTTTGTACTAACGGTTCTCTAATTTTTTCCACTTTCTACATGTAGGTACCTTATAAAGTGGTTCCTTATAAAAAACCTTTTACAGCATTAAAACGGAAGCGAATCTCTTGACAAAAATGTCACGAGCGTTTAAAAACAATAGAAACATTGACGAACCTCACTGGTCGAAATAACGAAAATCCATCTCAACAATGTTCTGTTGGAAAATTTTCTAGTATGAAAAATTAAAATTAGGATTTCAGTGTTAAAATTAATGACATCATATTTAAAAAACTCTGTTTTTATAAAAATGAGTATTTCGTGACATTTCTCTCTACTTGCAAAATCAAAACATAAAAGCCAGACTTCATCGCTTGTAGCCAAATGGGGATGACTTCCCTAGCCAAACGGTTTGTCCCACAGATTTTCAAATTGATTGTTTTTTATTAAAGACTCGTTGCTAACAATGAGCCATTGCGCTACGCAAGCATCCCATAATGCATTTTTAGACTGTCTGAAATCAATATTGGTTAAAGTCAATTTTGGTATCCGTAGAAGTTTACTGCCACTGTTTGGACCGTCGCCACGCTCGCAAAGGCCCATTGTTAGCAGTGAGTCTTTAAATGACTAGCCATGTGTAGAATGTCTTCGCAGAGAGCCCGATTTCTTTTTTCAAAGAGAACTACAAACGTTGTTAGGGCAACTGTCATTTCTCTCCAGAGACTCTATACAAACACGAAAATATCGCCTTGCATTTGATGAAGTTTGCTTAAGACGCTTTCATTGTATAAAGCATGCACCGACTGAGTGAAAACGCCGATTTTTCTGAATTTTTGTGCCGAAATAAACATAATCACGCAACCCAGTTGGGTCGAGGCACCAAAATCGGCTGAGAATTGCTTTCCAACAATTTGTTTAAGTCATTCTGATCCGCTTTTCTGCATTATTTCTCCGCGCGTGAATTAAGATGGAGCCTCATATTTTTAGCTTGTGAACGGATTTACTTCTTGATTTAATGTTTTTTAAATGTTCTTATAAAACCCTCGATCTAATCAAATTCATGCAGAGAGGCTTATAGCAACTCACTTTAGAGTGTGAACTTTCGTTAACTGGATCATCAGTATTAAAGTAGATATTGATTCCTCTCTTAAAATGAAAATCTCTTCCTACTAATAACGCGCACTATTTAATAGGATATATGTTCTTGGAACAATGGCTCTTGCATGGAATCTTCTTCTAGGGAATACGTCGAGTGAATGTCCTAATTGTCCTAATTGTTGAATATCCAGATGAAATTTCGATTTGCAGATTACTGAATTTAAAAGACAATCGACAGATGCTATCTTTCAATCAAAAACTGACCAATCAGTGTGTGTGATTCCATTCACATGCTTATTGATTGGTTGATGTTGTTTGATAGATGGCTTAAGCCACATTTTTATGTGTCGATTGCTAATAACGAAACAGGAGGAACCAATTGGTTTGGCTGCTTTGTACCAGATGCAGCGTAACACTGTTGTATTGAACCAGCTGTCGTTATGATTATTCTGAGTAGAAACACAATGTGTTTTTTACTTCTTGACTCACTCTAATGATTTTGATATAAGCATTTGAGTCATTACTCAGTGCATGATACTGACAACTCACTAAATTTGGACATGCTATGAAAATAGACCTTTCTGAGACATTTGCACCTAGACCACTGTAAGTGTGACGTCATAAAATTATCTATTTTTAGAATATTTTAACATGTTAACCACCTTGACTAAAAGAACACCTTGAAATACTTCTAAATCTTCAAAATCAGTTAAATATGACCAATTGAAGATTTGAAGTTTGCTAACGGATTACTTTAATTTGGGCCTTGTTAATAAAATTACGAACTGAGTGAGACCAAATTACAGAGGTTTGATGGGGAAAGAGCCAGTACACATACCTCAGCCAATCTGTAGCACATTTAACTGATTCTGCACTTCTAGATGTATTTCATGATGCTCTTTCAAGTAATGGGATCCGATTCAAAAATTCTAAAAATAATTTTGTGACTTTATCTCTTAAGATATCTTTGGGTATTATATTGATGTTTCTGCTGAAATATTGGGTATGCTATTGAAAACGTGTCTCGAAGAAAGCATGATATCGAGCTAGATCCATGATCTGGACGCCCTCCAAAGCTAAGGACAGAAAGGAGCTTGTCCTTCTACTTCATCATTCTGTTGGCTCAGTACAAGGGCCCCCTCTCTAGCATGCACATCTACTGCTTTCAAGTGTATACGGAACTCACTTTTACTTTCACCTTACTTTAAACCATACGGTACTCGCTATGCAAGTTGATGCAGTCAGCAACAAGAGCAAACAAGTATTTAATACTAAGTCTTGTCGGTTCATCCTTTGTTTGCACAAAAATGAGGTGAAAAAGCACCTGGAATAAGCCCTACTTTAAAGAGACAGCATCCCTTATCAAGGATCAATTACTTCTCCTTTATATTTCATTGCAACAGAATATCTTCTGAATTATCAAATTTATGGAATTTATAAGAAACGTACCAATGTGTTTTCTATAGATCATCTTAAAACCACTGATTATAGGGAATTAAAGGTTTCTATCCGAAAAGGGAATCTTTGTCAGGAAAATCGACAGCGAAAATTGACTCAATTAAAACGACCCACAAACCTGTATTAATCCTACCTAATCCTTTTCTAACTAAATATCTAACTATTATTGAACATCAACAGAATGGAAATGTAATTTCATGGGCAGAAAGCAGATATGTACAAGAGGCTTTTGAAAAAAATCCAGATTGAAACATGCCTTTGTATTTTTTCTGCTAATATCAAACGTTGTAGCAGAGCATAAAAAATAATTAGTTACGTCTCTTTTTTCCAATCATGAGATTTCTTTCTGGCTTCAATTTTAAAATTCCAATACGATTTTCCAGTATTTTCAGCTATTGAATCTGCAATTAGCACTTCAAAAATTTATCCAATTATGACATTTTAAACGAATGCATATGAATATCGATAACTTTGTTTTACCTGTTCTTTTTAACAATAGTTTGAATATGAACTGCACTGATTAAATAGAAAATATAAAACTCTATCTTTCACTAGCAACAATCCAAAACTTGACCTTGATTATGCGAACGCTTTGAAGGGCCCGTTATCTGTAGCTAGCAACCCCCCGGACAGCTTCAGCCAGGTGACTTGGCTCGTTTTAAATAATATGTTCTGGCTAAATGGGTTTAATGCACTTATCGTTGTTTACCTGTTTCCAACTGAGCATCCTACATTCAGCTATTATTAAAATTCAAGATTTAAAAAACCCTGAAGAAAAATTTTGTGCAGGAAGGACGAAGGTCTCAGACATACTTGGCAAGTACTGTTTTAGTTAGCTATCTCCTGTACATGGTAAATCTACTCCTGAGATGGTTTATTAGTCTGCCCCATGACGAGTTGCATGTTGATATGAACTGCAGTTGATGAGTGATGGAGAATAAACTTGCTTTCATGTTACCATACTTCACTTTGATCATTCAAAACATTCCAGATAGCCTCTGTGTTGTTCTCGGTGGTGAGTTTAAAATGATTTTTATATCAATGTCTATTGTTACTTGCAATAATTATTCTTTTAGATTCAAATTCCAATTTAATCATTTTATGCATGCTTCGGGCTTCGATAGGCTACTTTAAACTTCTGCAAAGAGAATTTAGCCAGCAGGTACTATTAGCAGGATCCAGGAATTAGAAAAATGATTTTCTCTTCCAAAATGTTTCGCCTCTAGCAATACTTACAAGAGGCAGAGTTCAACCAAAATGTTTTAAAAATTACTAGAA